GCTTCCACCTGTGCTCTCCGGTTCTCATTGGGCTGCTGGTTCTGGAGAAGTCCACCGGCTTTGAGGATCGGGAACACGGGTGTCAGATCCTGTCGGAGACGCTTGCAGAACTCCTGGCTCGCCCATCTCGCAGTGACCCCTCCTTTAACGCGCTCCGGTTACTGTGCGAGTCTTTGTGAATGTCCCAGCTGCAGGCTGCCACAGGCACTCTTGGGAGTTGACATTCCAATGATCGCACCAGGACAAGCAAGACAAGCCAAACGGCCCCCTCTTGTTTGCATCCGTTTGGCCGTTTGGGTTGCCTGATCATGGCGAATAAGAGATCGCTTTATTGGCCATATACAATTTCTTGCATTAGGAATTAGTCTTGGATTCGGAGCACAGGGTTAGCCATTTATACAGCACCCCTGGAGCAGCTGGGGTTAAGGGCCTTGCTTAGGAACCCAACGGAGTAGAATTCCTCTCCCGGCAACGGGATTTGAACCGGCAACCTTCCAGCCACAAGCACAGATCCTTAGCCACAGAGCCACCACTCCACCCTCATCAATCCAAGGTTGTGTCCCGGCCGATTGGGATGGCTTGTTTCAGGTCCCCGGTATCCTATCTTTATATAACAGCCTTCCGGTCTTCAGGCGGGTTCCGAGGCAGTTGAACCAGGGCGTGTGGCGGGATCAGAAGGGCTGCAGTGCGGAACTGACGTGCCGCTGTCTCCCTCCCTCTCTCTCTGCAGGAACGCTCTGCTAGTGGCAGCGAAGAGGACTGAGCTACATGAAGGACCAATCCCACAGCTCCCGTCACCCCTGAGCCCCCGCAGTTTTATGTAGAGCAAGCAACGGGTTAAGGGGTTAGTTGTCATAGATGAGCAGATTTTTTTTTTAGTGAAAACCAACTATCTTAAAAAATCATGGATGAAACAAAACCGAAGACAAAAGCAAATAGAAGAGAAACCTACTTCCATATTTATACAGCAGCTGGTATGAACGTGGGACTGTTCTGCCGTCTTGCCATTTTCTGGCAAGCTCGTGAAGCTGCAGCGCAATCGTGACAGTGGGAAGTTCTGGTTTTTAATTTTTTTTTATTTCCATGGCAGTACTGTATGTACAGATACAGTAATAGGAGCCTGTGTTTTCCAAACTGTGAATGCATGTGTGTTGTCAGTTAAAATGCACTCCAATGTGCTGTTCTGTATTTTAAACCTAAGCAGGTCATGATGACGGCCCTCCCCCAGGGCTTTTATTTAAAGGGTTTAAGGTGGGGGGGGTGTCTTTCTGTTTGTGTCAATGTCACTGGATCTCGAACTACAATAAAGAAATCTTACCGATCTTGTGCTTTTTGTCTTGTTTCTTCCCTTTTTTGGGGGGGAGAAAGTTGGAACCTGCAGTTATTTTTGTTTTCTTCCCCCATCACCTCCCGTTTGAGAATAGCTAATTAACTGCACTGCCCAAGCTGTTCGCTATTCGAACCCGGGCTCCACAGCTGCCTTACAGGATACTAAGCAGCAGCTGGATTGACCCGTCTCCTATAAAGATTGCAAGTTTCTGGGTATGTGGCAAATCTGTGATGGGGGTTGCTGGCTGTATGTAGGGCCAAGACTCTTGCCCATCGAACCCTGGCAGCATACTATATTCCTTAGGAATTGTGCTGCTTTCCTGCAAGCATCTGCTAGGCCACAGGGGGCGCTGTGGTGTGAGACTGCTCTGGCTGACTGATCTCGCACTGCCCGTGGTGTAGCTCAGCCCTCTGTGCTTTGCCACTATCGGCTCATGGCATGACCCTGGACTCGAACCCGCAACACCGAAAGAGATCAGCCTGAGCACGGTGCCCTCGGGAAGAAGTGTGGGCCTCCGGGTAGGACAGGCACCCCCTCATGGTGCAAGGCGCACCTCTTTGCCCACACGTCTCCAGTCGGGGCCAGTCGAGACCCTGCTGGGACAGGGAGTTCCTCTAGCAGGCCGCTAGTCAAGCTGGTGATTTGTGGAAACCTACAGGGGTTATGGCTCCTCCATGGTATTAAACCATTACTTGTTCCTTTGCACTGTGCCGCTAGATCAGTACGCTGTCTCAGCCTTGCGCACGTCTGGCCTTCTGCACCAATCAAGCAGGCACAGCAAGGCTATATCCCCATCCTGGGGAGCACGCTGCAATTTTAATATGGCTGGTTGATTTGGACCAGTGTTTCTGGCGTTTAGTCCTTTCCAAGCTACTGGGCAGCAGACGGAAGCTAATAACGCAGCCGACTCACAGCGGTCAAGTCCCCGTTCAGGCAGATATCGCTCGCATGCCCAGAGCTCTGGACTGCACTCCCAGAATTCCCAGCGCAAGCGACAGACGTGGGTGAAATTCTGCTTGCCCCTGTGAACTGCCTAGGGCCTCTGTTCTCTCATTCGCTCTGCTCGCCTCCGCCTGAAGCCAGCTGCTCTTCTCCGTGCTTGCTGTGTCTGTTATCATTCCTGTGCTCAGGGAAATCAAAGTTAACTCTGCGTCTGAAGTTATAATGTAGCAGCCTGGAAAGCTGGAATCTAAATTTCCTGCTTTTTAAATTATGGCACATACCGGAGAAATCCTCCAACATTTAAGTTTAGAAAAATGTATTTGGAAATATAAAACAGCAATGATATCCTGCCCCAGCCATGCAAATTTTGTATGTTCTTGTCCTGTAATGTCTCCAGAAATCATTCCAAATCTGTTTCCCTGTAATACTTTCTTAGCAAGTTGAAAAGCTGTGATGGAGGCAGAGTGGATCTGACAGCGCTGCCTAAAAAGTTGAATGTGTAATATTGTCATGAATGGGCCTCAGAGCAGTGTACGACTCTCCTTGAGCTCCTTCCTACTGCTTTACCCTGAAGGAATCTTGTAAGGGCTGATACAAGTCAGGAGAAATGACATCCCAGACCTAAAAGCAACAAGGCCCTGACATTAAAATGAACACATTCACACACGAGTGCCACAAATCAGTGGGTGAGAGGCTGTTCATTTTTCCTTCTGAACCCACCTGCGGTATAATGTCAGTACCTGTGTCAGGCCCTGCACTGTGGTGTGCTTGGTGGTTCTGTGAGCTCCCTGTGTTTGTATTTGAATATGGAAACACAGAAGGAAATGAAGCAAGGCAAGAATGAGCTGCACTCTGACTTTAATGGATGGTGTGTCACAACCTGGCCCACTGCCCTGTTTATGTTCCGGAAGGGTGTGAGATCACAGGGTTTCAGGGGCTGAACTGGGTGAATTGGTGTGTCCCAACGTCAGGAAAGGAGAACCCTGACAGAAGACATCCTCCTGTACCCACAATGACTGTACTCCTACACCACTACGCACACATGTAAGCCGAAATTGTACTGTCCCCGCGATAGCCCAGTAAAACTGTACCGGTCGTAATATTTAATATTTATTAATTAACCATACTATTTTTAACCATACTATTTTTGCACTGTTCCAAGAATTACCTTGCACTGTTTGTGTCCTGTTATATTTTCTCTGTTTGCGGAACTTTGCACAGTTTTGATTACTTGATTACATGTTATTTATGTTATGTTATTACATGTTACTGTTATTGCTATTGTGTTACTGTCTATTGTCTTATCTTCTGTCCTATTTATATACTGCACCTGAGTGATTAATGAGAAACACTTTTCATTATACTATGCACCTGTGTAAGTTTAATGACAATAAAGTTGAATTGAATTGAAGGTGAAAGACAAAGGACACTTCATCCCTTCCTCTCTCCCACACTGGCAATAATGAGTTTCTTAGAGAGGAAATAAGCAGTCTGTCCTGGATACAGGCCCTCTGCCTTCTCTTTTTTACTTTTCACACCTGCTGCTGGTCCTGGGTACGAATCTCATCTGGGCCATCATGTGCGCAGTCTGTACTATCCCAATACTGACCCGACCCAGCCTTGCAGAACTCCTGAGGTTTGATGGGATGAGCCTGCGTCACACCCTGGTCACACATCTGATAAAGAAGAAGAAGAGACGAAGACGGATGCTGCAGAGTGTGTTGTGCATCTCACCCAACAACCACAAAGGAGCCCCCTCCATCTGGACCTGGCCCGGGGTGCAGTAGTGAATTAGCACAGTGCAAGGTTGTCCTGTCGTGTTGCAAAACAATGCGTAACACAAACGCAATACTGTTTGATGCCATGTTAACATCACTTTAAATACAAACTTATTTCATATAGTTATACCATAAATGCAAACGTATTATTTCCTGGAACCCTGAGAGGCGAAGTGAAATTCAGAGGAAAGCATCCATGCAGTAGCTCAGTGCTGTGCTTGTGATGTGATGTGTAGAGGCAGGGCCCGGTGACAGGACAGTCTCGCCCACGTGAAGCCGGTGTAAGAGACGATGTTGTGAGCAGGATCTTGGTCCTGTGCCTGCCCCTGCAGGAGCGAAGACTTCAGTCCAGTCATCGAGGGGTCAGGGAGTGGAAGTGGGCGCGGCAGGCCATTCACAGACCTCTGAGTCTCACTCTAAAGCATCAGAAAACCCCCCACTGTGAGAAGCACGTAACCCTCCTGCAGACTTTCGAGATATTTCCTGCTCTAAGCTGTTTTAACAGACAATCGTGTTCCGAGTGGGGAATTAGAGGAAAAGCACATGATCCCTTTAACCATTGACACCCCTCACTACTGCTATCCCCTGATGTCCATACTAAGTTTCAGCAAATGTGTGTTCCTCCTCTCTTCCCCCTTCACGGGACTTCTGAGAGCCACAACTCCCACCCATGACCAGGACGTCAGCGATCTACTCAAACCTGAAACCTGATCGGGCAGTGAGAAGTGCTGTCTCATGCAGCCTTCACAGCTCCGGATCACTGCTGCACCCTGGGCTGCTTCGTGCTGCTCTGAAGGAAGAGCTTATCTGAACCAGCGGCCTTGATCATCAGTAAAACAGGCCTCTTTTCTTTGCTTATCCTCAAGGCCGTGATAAGACGTGACCTTCAAGCGCAGGGACAATCCAGAGCCTTCATTCAGGACAAGACCCCGGACGGTACCCAGCGCTGTCGACTCGTGGTCTTTAGAAGTCTAAGCCAAAAATACACACAGGCACATGTGAGCAATAGCCTAGGGGAGTCAGTCTTCTGGAAATACTGGTCATAAGATGTTCTTTGGACACAAAAAAATAACCCCCTGTTGCACATCACAGACAAATACCAGCTGTGGTTTCAGGCTGTGTAAATTTCATGACGCATAAAATGCTAGAATGTGGCATTTTTTTAGTTGATTCAAGATCACCTGTAGCAGAAGCACTGCAGTTTTTCACCTGGGTGGACGTATAGTTAGCCTGGTAGCAAATCACATCAGGGAGAGTGTGAATTCTCCTCACCCCAGCTCCAGTTGTTATTCGTGTTGCTGTAGGTCCTCCAGGTGCACCTAGTGTCTTTAGCCTGGAATTCACCTAACCTTAACCCAGATTCCCGATTCTCTGCCAGGATGGAAACATGACTTTCAAAACACAGAGGTCTGAGACATTTCAGGTATTTTTAATCTTGAAGATAAACCAACAGCATGTACTGTAGCGGATATTTCCTGGACGTTTTCCTATTTGAGTTGAGTGCGTGGAGACAGGGGTGGGTTCATTCAGTGTCAGGGCAGATATTTCTCCCTTGCAAGAGCCTGCAGCTGGGAGTCACCTGAAACGTGCTCCAGCCACTGTGGAACCAGAGCCACTTTATTTATTTCTGTTGCAAATCCTAGATGGAAAGAATCCTTCAGCTGCGCCAGGAAGCTCGGGGAGGGGGAGGCTGTGGAATGTGGATCCAGTATCCAGAGAGCATCCTGTCTCCCTGCGCCGATGACGGAGGAGAGGAGGGGAGGGCCGAGCCGTGGTGTGATGTTGTGTGGAGAAGGTGGGGAGTTGTGAGTCAGGGCTCCTCCTCAAGATGTCAACAGGAAACAGGAAGAGCCCTGTGTGGCGCATGTGTACGCTTTGTTCTTCCCAGCAGCCTGTGTGAACGAGCACGCGAACAATCTCCGGAGTCACGCCTCTTTTGCAAAGTGACCCACCAACATTTCGACATTCCTGAAATAACTCTGCGCTCCCCTGAGCCGGTTCACCGCACACAAAAGACAAAGGATCGATACTATGCTGGCATAGTATCTCTGGGTGAGCTGGCCTGAAACAGGTGCAGACTCAATCAGGCTTTTTTAAGGGGGTGAGAGGGTCAGGCAGGGTGAGTACAGGCTGAGCCCATCCATTGCAGTGAAAAGCCTTCTTCCTCAGTATGCCTGCACTCTCACCTTGGTAAGGAGCCCTGCTGCTGTGAGAGGTTGCTCACACTTCCCTGTGGTTTTACGTTTAGGTTTTGGAAACTCATTATAAATGTGGAAGGTGTGCTGGTGAGGTGGTTAGCACTGCTGCCTCGCAGCACTAGACTGTGGGATTAAATACTGGGGTGCTGTCTGTGTGGGGTTTGTATGTCCTCTCCTTCTGGGAATCCTCCAGGTGCCCTGGCTTCCTCCCACAGTCCAAAGACACATTAGTAGGTTAATTGGCTTCAGGGAAAATTGGTAAGCGGAGCCGTTGAAGTATTTTCAGTAGCACTGTGGAAGAGTCGTTTAGGCTCTGGATTCAAAGCTGGAAGGCCGAGCAGGCCTTTATAAATCCAAGTCATTTTGGATAAAAGTGCCAGCCAAATGCATTAAGAAAAATTTGCAGCGCCAGCCTAGATTTGTATCATATTGACGAGCTAACCAAGAGAGAGAAGATGATTTAGCCATGGTTTTATGTTTTCTTCAGGACTGGCCTCAACCTGCACGTTTATTTGTAGTGTAAACTTTACATCCAGGAAGTGTTGATTACACAACTGACTACTCTTACTGTATTGCTAGCCTTGGGTAAATGGGACTCGTGTCCACTGACGTCTGCATCGAGAGGCTGCAAACGAGGAAGGAAATTCACAAATTTCTCAGAAGCCTTTCTGGGGGGAACTGCGTGCCAGTGACAGACACCAGAGCTGGAGTAACTCAGGCCCGACACTCTGAGGTAAACGTGCAGGCCTTGCCCTCTCCTGGTCTCCATGGCGATGCTGGCCCAGCCTTGTAGGGATCCAGATAAGGCCTGTGCAGTCCTCTCTCAAGAACCGGATGGTCAAGGGCAGGAGTGAGGTCCCTCCACATTGACGCGAGTGGAGTTTTAAAAAGTTGTGGGCGTTTTAAAGGGGAAAAGAGTGATAGAAAGAGAGAACATTCTCCAAAGAAAGCTTTTGAACAGTTTCAGAACCTCAATCCCTTTGCTCCCCAAAGGAACAACCTTTATTCTTCTTTGTAAAAAACTACTCATTTTGTGACATTTGTATCTGAATTTCTACCTCCTAAATGGAATTTTAAACATCTGCAGTTTTCCCATTGATTTTTTTTAGCTAACCATGACCTGTCCCATCATTCTCCTCACTGGTTATAAACAAATGGTTCCAATTAGAACTGATCAATGTGAAAGAGTAGAGCATATCATTGAGCTATAGGGAACTTTTCCCTGAAATTAGTGGCAAAGTAGTGTATTGTGGTATTCCTAATGACAAGTAGTCATTTAATTGATTAAGTAATTTCTTCTCCACTTTATCTGAAGCGTGGTTTTTGTGTACCAGTAGGTGGCGCTTCTCTCTCTACCGGACTTTCCACACTAACGCTCCTGTATGGTGACTCAAGACACCACAAATGACATCTTTTGAGTAAGATATTATATCCGGTTTTGGTATGTTTATTATAATAGTTATTAAATACGTTTATCATTATATTAGAATGTAATGTTTGGTAGTGTTAAATCGGAATTTGTTGAGGTGAGAATTCAGAATCATGGAGAATTATTCCATAATAAATGCAATTAGTGTTAGTTTTTTCCAGGTGAGGGCTATGTTTAGTGTATTTTACAGTGCGAGCTAAGTTCCTTTTATCGAGTTCGACCTCAAATCCCCCAAGTCTTCAAAGCGCGCTTCTATTGCAACCGGCTGTAGCGGAATTGGGAAGCGCCCGAGCTTATCAGACCGGAAAAAAACAACACACTTTCTCCACCTCCCTCAACCCCTTTTCTCGCTGACACCTCTCCTTCCACCCCTGTGAACTCCTTCCCTCTCTCCATCCGGACTCGGAAGAGTTAACCCGGCCATGTGTTGTAATATGGTGCGCTCTCAAGGCCCCGCCCCCCTCCGATTGTAGAGTTCTGCCTCACATCACACCACCACGGTGGCCCCGCCCCCTCTCTGACGTCAGGTGGTCATTCAATTTGACCGGGGCTGCTGAGCCCAAATTGACTCATTATCTTCGGCACCGCTCTGCACAGTTTCTCCCAGAGCTGGGAAGGGTCCTGTATGTGTTGTTATTGTAATTATTATTATTTGTAAATAAATATTACATATACAGATTAACGTCAACGCACAAGCTATCGCGCATCCAAAAATCCAAGCGGGGAATCGCAGATCAGATCAGAAATGTTCGCCAGCCGGCAGCAGCGCACGTTACCTGCACTCGCCCTTCTGCTGGTGGTCCTGAACCACGTCGTCACTCCGACACGTAAGTTGCTTTTCTCTTGCTTTTCAGTCTCATTTGACGAGCTCCTTGTTCAGGGTTCCGTGAAGTGTCGGATATAGTGACTGGGGTGGTGGTCCTGTGCTGTAATGAGTTATGTCCCTGCCCGCAGCTCGCAAGATAAAAAAAAGGATATGCTACAAGATGTGCTTGGTGCAGTTTATTATAATGGCCCGCGGTGAAGGGGACGTTGCGGTGTGTATATCGTGCTGGAGCTGGTGGGGTTGAGGAAGCTCTAGTCAGTGGGTAAAGGAAAGCTTTCACGCACATCATTTAGGATTTTCGCCTCGCCGGGTTACTTCCGAAGCTCAGCACTGTTGGTTCTTGATGTGAGCTGAAAAGAGCAATCAATGACTAGTTGTAAAACCGGCGAGAGCCTCAAACTCGCGTACCTCGTATGCTGCTAAAGCTTCTGGACATCCGAGTTTGCCACTCCCGTTATCTGCCGCAGGTGCAGGCCGATGTATGTCGTGATACCTACAGTAGATGTTTGTGTGTATATATATATAGTACAATATGTGTATATTGTTATAACAAAGGCCAGGCGAGTCGTCAAAAGCCACTTTAGTACAGCAGGGCTCTAGGTTTTTAAGTGATCATTCACTAAACCGAACCGGTTGTTCTGGAAGACGATGCAAACCCTAATCGCTCAGTTAAAGAAATAAAGTTTGCCCTGTTCTAAAATGACAATTTACCGTGATCTTTAACATGTCATGGGGCTTTTTGTGACGGAATCGGTTTGCCACGGATTTTATTGTCCGCCTTTGTGGATATGTCCACAAGGGTGGAGGCTGGCGGTGTCGAGATGCGGCATTTGGACATTTGAAACCAAAATCCAGAATCTTAACATGCAACAATATCCTGGCGATCTGAGCGAGAAGCATTCAGAAAATAAAACCCAGAGCACTCATCAAAGTCTAATTTGGCTGCCCGGCCATTTCAAATACGGTATTTTTTTAACTTCGCCGGAGAAATCATGTATAGTGCGTTTCCTTTACAAATCTGTATGAATGGACGCGCCTTCGGCGTTCTGATTGGCTGATCCGAAAACACGAGATCCATCACCCAATCAGCACGCCGCTCGGCCAGAGGGCAGGGGCGGGGTGGGGACGCGCCTGTTCGAGTAATTTTAGCGAAAAGCCCCGCAAGTTTTCGTTTTAGAATCTTGGTCGGAAGCCTGAAATAAAAACAAATCGACAAACAAATAATGAAATAATGACTTTAAATAAAAAAACCAAGCATAGCGAAACACCCGGGGCTTTTATATTTAGCATAGTTACTTTATCTTTTCAAAGGTTTGTAGATGGTGGGATATTCCCGTACTCTGCAGAATGTGAAATTCCCATACCGCGTTGTAGTTTCGTAAATGAACGTAACTGCGGTTCTAAAATAACACGGTTTCGGCTGCAAATCTCTCTTTAAAAAACAACCAATATACATTGCTGCTCATGATACAAAATAAGGATTAATATTATAGTGTTAACAGTACGAATACCAATGGCACCTACTGTGCTGTGGGTTGTGACAAGTGTATCTTATCTGCTCTGTAACTCGGGAGACCGTTTTAAGTCATGGGAAAAGTTAAGGGGAGAGTGTAACCCGGGGAAATATCGCTTCTTGCAGAGATGTTTCTGTTACTTAAATCTTCTGTGTCTGAGTGGACCGTACCCACCGCTGTCGTGATTAAAAAAAAAATAGTTTATCTTCAATTAAGCCTGCGATGTAAAAATTGATTTATTAGTGTTGTCCCGTCATTTTGTTCAGTGACGTTTTATTATCCACCAATACAGCCCCTGCGCGTCCAGTGGAACATAATTCATGTTTAGAACCGGTAAAGTATTTCTCAGCATGGGTGGAGCCCAGCTTTGTTGTCCAGCAGCGGTCTGAGTGCAGCTTTTATGGTAGCGGGAGCTCAGATCCTACACCTATCCCAGGAAGTGGGAAAGCGACTACAGTCTCTACAGGAACAAGTAACAGGTTAATCCCATGCTGGAAAAAAAAGAAGAAAGAGAACATAACGTTTCGGCCGTGGACAATTGAAGGAAATATAGATTTCCTGCTCTTTGTTGTGGTGATGATGTACAGGGGGAGCCGCAGGGTTTTTTTCCCCCATGCAGAAAGCATGCAGACCTTTGGGAAGATATCTGCCTTTTCCCCCGGCTTTGCATGCCCTCCTGTAAGTTATACGTTGGGTACAGGTCCACGAAATATGCAGGCAGAGAAACCTGTACATCTGCATACTCTCCCCTCTCCTGGCACTGGTAAAGACGTAGTTTGAGGTGGGGCGTGGCGCTTGGCTCAGAAAGAGAAATGGCTTTTCCTCGGCTGTGTTTTGTACACAGTCAATTACGTTTCATAATCAAAGATGAAAGAAAGTGGTTCCTCTTCATGTCTGGGGTGGGGTGGGGTGGGTCACCCCCTTCTCCATGGGCTAAACCGTGACGTTATCCCATCACCATCGTGTGCCTGAGGGCTGACACCTTCTGATATCGATTGTGCCAAAGCTGCTGATTGTGAAAGAGCACGGATTGCACGGGCTCCTGTGGTTCGCAGGCATCAGCCCAGACTGTGCCCGATCTTCGGTTCCCTGAGGAGACCGAGATCTGGGATGTCATCCCTGGGATTATTAAGCTGCAGATTCATAACTGTTTACTGGCTGTTCAGTTCGCTGCGCCTGCGTTTTAAATGGCTTCACAGTGCAATCGCAGTTTGCTGGTGCAGGAGGCACCTTGAGGAAGAGGGTCAGTTCCACCACTGGGTTTTCTTCAGAAAGCGCTCTGCTGTTTGTTCGCTGGGCCTTGTCCCCTGTGCCACCTCAAACACTAGAAGCTGCGCCCTCGCAAAATTGGCCGCCAGTTTGGTGATAAAAAGAACAAACTATGAACCTTTTTTTATTTGCTTATGCAGAGTTTTTTTTTTTGCCCAACATTGAACTCTGGTTCTTGCTGGGGGCCGGCGGGGATTCAGGAAAGATTCTGCTCGAAAAGGTTTTTTTGTGAAGTGCCTGGGCCGAGACCATGCTCCTCTTGGTTCCAAGAACATGCTTTGCATCATGGGAGAATCCCAGCTGGGTTGCATCAGACAGCAGGGTGATCTTGGGAATGCACTTAAAAAAAAAAAGTCTGAAATCTATTGGGGATTGTCAAGTTTCTCTAGAACCATCTAACAGCATCCGGGAGGTTGTTTTCATAACTGGGCATGGCTTGTATAAACTGATAGGTACAGTCCAGGCTAACAAGATTAACCGCCTTTCATAACACGAACTGTATCCTCTTTGTGGGCAGAGGTTATAAATTAAAAGCAATTTACGTTATATGGCTCCAGCTCTGACAGAGAACATACGTGCTTTAGGGTTAAATATTAACCACGGGTTTATAAAATACAGGTCGTGCACCTCTCGGCCAGTATTTCTTCCCTCCCCTGAACTTGACATACAAGCCCTGGGAGACAGTAGTCAGCGTTGCGGTAAAAACGCAGTGCTGTATTCGAGAAAGAAGGGGTTGATTGCTGTGGGGCCTTGTAGGTCTGGTTCATCAGTTCTGTAGGATTTAAAAAATGGGTCAAAGAGGTAAAAATGTTGGTTTCTCACTCAGTTACAGTTACTCAGAAGTTTCCCCTCCTTCCCCATGTTGGTGTTTTCCAAGGGGTGCAGGTCTGTAGCTGACTCACTCTGGTTGTTACCTGGCTTTTGTTTCTCGACTTATTCTAGATCTGGTGTCTAAAATTAAATTGGGGAAAAAAAACCTCAAAGAAAATACCAAAGAAACAGAAACCTGGGGAAATTTTTTTGCCACTGGTGTGTCACTTTTTTCCATCAACAGGTTTCATGCTAATTCAAAAGGTTTTGTGTTTTTTTTTTTGCTGCTGGTATTTCACTGCGTAATCGCACCCGGGTTCTGTGTTGAGTTATTTTGATAGCACTTGATCATGAAATGCGATTTTCTTCAGTACTGCTTTTCTGTCATCGCACTGCGGACTTGTCTTTTGTAGTTTGTATTTTTTGAAAAACGCTGAACACAGGAAGCCGTCATCTTACGGGTTATGAAATGGCAAAGTTAGTGAATAAAAAAAAGTTAGGTTTGAAGGTGAGAGTAAATGTTGGCAACTGTATTGCTGATGGGGAAAAAGACCTTCCAATACAGAGAGGGTTGATCCATTCCAAGTTTTAGCCTGGTGAGAAAATTGTCCTGGCATAACTGGACCTAAAAAATGGCATGTATTTGTGTTTCTGCTTTAGTGAATACTGTCTTTTTAGTAGCATGCAGCTCCTACACAAGAAAATACCCAACCGCCAGCCAGAGAATATAATTTACCTGTATCTCTTACGATCATCACATCTGCCTTTTCCTGAGAGAGGTTGTTGGCAGGGAAAATCCCCTGTCCGGCACTTCTGGGCAAACTCTGCCTGCCTCCCTGCCATCGCCTTGTCCGTTTCTCTCCCTTCCCGGCTCGCGGAGATGGAGGAGAAGGCGTGGCTCTCTTTTGAGAAAAATCCCGGCCACTGGCTCTTGATGTTGGGAGCTGGCATGTAAGCTCAGCTTTGCAGCAAACGACAGACGCAAATCAAAGTTCAATTAGCCGTCGGGTTAAATGAGAAACGTGGGGGATTCTAAAGAGTGTTTCAAGCTTGATCATCTTCTAACAGTTGTTCCATCAACACAGCTTTTATATTCTCACCCTGTTTAGTTTTAAGCAGATTCAAGCAGCCTCTTCTGTTTTTTTTATGAAACCGAAGCGGTTAGGCACTCTGAAGGCAGTGCAGTGCTGAGTCCGGGCCTCTGACTCTGAAGTCAGCTGTGTGTGCTTGTAAGCCGAGACAGGGCTGCTGCTGTCTTTAACATGGCACACGGCTCATTGTAAACCTCCCGGAGCTGTGAGTGAGCGGGGTGAGCTCTCTGCTTCCAGGACTTGAAGGGAATTTGGACGATACGCGTGGGCAGAGGCTGGGAAGAATGGGGGGGGGGGAAACCCCAGCCCCCATCTGATCGCGGGCCTCCTTGCCCAGCTGTGAGAGGGGAGCCTGCGGTTGACTCCTGGCTCAGCCCTGGGCGGGTGGTTGGCCGAGATCTGAGATCAGCATGCCTGAAATCCAAGGAGAGGGGGGATTGTGGGGCGTTCCTTGTATGGGAAAGGCATTTCGACGCCGCCTCCTGATGAGGGGGGAAGACGGATTTAAAACCCTGGAGTGGAAAGACTGGCCTGGCCAGTCCTTAAAGATGACTCAGTTTAGGAGAATTCCAACTGCAGTCAGTGAACGTGGATAGAGCTGACTAATTAGTCCTTGCCACCGCAAGCAAATTGTCACCTTGCGTTGACCTTGTTCTTCACTTTGTAAAAGAAGTTCCTCTTGGGACCCCTGCCAATCCTGGCCAAAGAGGGGATATCCCCCATCCCCAGTCCTGGGGAGCCCCAATCCAGCCTGTCGTATGGGACACCTGGATTCTGCTTTAAACCTGTTAGTGACTGATGAATGGAGCAAGCAGTGTGTACACCTAAGAGAACCCAGGTCCTTTCAGGGCTTTTGGTCCTAAATGATCTCTAGATTTGTCAGGTGATCATCTGCTTAACTGATCAAAGTGAAATTGTTTCAAGTCCTTTGAACGTGACAATTTAATGGTGACCCACAAAACCCACTGGAGTGGGGCTGTTCAGGCCCAGGTTTGGAAACCTCTGGAGTAGACGGAGAAGACCTGCTACAGTGACCTCTTGAATAAAGATCAGACTCTGATTGCGCTGCGGGAACAATTGATTTTCTAGACCATAAAAAATGTTAAAGATGAGTGGAGGCCATTTGGTCCATCTGGCTAATTGTTTTTACACTTTCTTTACACCAGCAAAAAGTCAGTGCCGTTTCAAGTGATTAAATATTTATAATGCCAGCTCAGAGAGTCAGTCTCAAGATTTGGCTTGAATTCTGTGAGTCAGCACTTTTTTAAAAAGCACTGTGGTTATAATTAGTGCAGTTCTTTACCTTCATTACTGTAACTGTATCTGTGTTCCTGTTGTATTGTAGCTGCCCTTAGTTTCCGTTGCTACGCTCCAATATACGTTTTACGCACCAGGCGGTTGTTGGTGTGGCCACGCCCACGTCCTGTTTTGTCTATCTGACATCCATAGTTGACCCTCCACCCAATCGGCAGCCAGTGGTGTGATTATGAGAGCCCGCCCCTTCCCTCCTGCGTGCCTGGAGAAGGCGTGCCACACTGCAGGTGCACCCACTGAGGAGAGATCTGTGCAGAGCTCAGCTCTTCTGAAAATATTTAAATTCTTCCCCGGTTAGGACCGTTTCTGGGGTTTTCCCCTCTCCGCCTAAGTGTTACACATTTCTGCATGTTGTGCGTTTGCACAAGGCTGTTGCTGTGGTTTTGTAGCATTTTGAGTGTCTGCACTCTACTTTGATGTGTGTTGCCTACCGTGTGAACAGCCCTTTACTGACATTTAGAGCAAGGTTTTCAGTCCGGCTAGGCTCTTAAAGACTCGAATCACCTCGGTATTGGCTTAATTACACCAATTCAATAAATTCTCCCAGATATTCATGTGCTGGTGATTTTTAAAGAGACCTGGGAATTCTGATCCGAACTCCTGAACTTGAGGCAGAATTGGATTTTCCTTTTTTACTGTGTTACGCGGTGATGACAGATCAGTATAAAGCAGTGTGATCCTGTTAAAGACATGACAAGGCATACTGAGGTAGAGAACAGATGGATTTGACCAGTGTGGAAAAATGTTCGATGCCTTTAATTGACCAATCAGACAGTCTGTTTTCGTTTTAAGCAGTGCATTTTCTGTGAGCTCACAGAATCTGGCTAGGAATGAGTTCCATAGGAATCCTGCGGGACTCGTCAAATTTTAGATTGAAATAGCAGGTAGTAGTTTTTCACGTGACCCTTGCTCCTCTGTAGTGTTTAATGTGGGGGGCCAGAGAGGGTGAATAAGATGGTGCTGGGGTGTGAGCAGCTCTTTTTGGGGTCTGGTTGGGAAGAGGATTCAGACATTATTTCCTCCTCACCCAAACAGTTTAGACACGGGTTTGCTTTTGGAACTTTGACCCGCCTGAAACCTGTCTGAGCCAACCGGTGAGTCCGAGCCAGATCCAGGTGGGAGCAGCTGCTTCAGCCATATCGACTGGGGCAGGAACCTGTCCTGACCTACTGTCCGGCTCTGGCCACTGCCCTGTATGACAATCCGGAAATCGGTTGATGCGTATCAGAGAATATCCCATGGTATCTTGCACCATCATGCCTGCGCCAGGTCCTGTACAGTGATCTGAGGAGGGGTTGTGCTCTTTGCAGAAAGTTTTGTTCTAACCGCTACAATGTGAAAAACCGGTCAACTGCTCCCTCAGCAATTACTATCCGTGATGAAGTGTCACTTTTGGGCAATCGTGAGGAGGTGCCCTCTTTTTTTTGGGGGGGGGCAAGGGAATCGCAAAACCCAAAACTGCCCCCCCAGAAGGGGGTTCGTGTTGAGGGGGTGGGCTGTGCTCCTCTGACCGAATCCCGCCCCTCACTCTCTCTCTCTCTCTCTCCCTCCTCGGCAGTCTCGGCCACCTGCTCGGCGGGGTTGTTCCAGTGCGCCAATGAGAAGTGCATCACCACGCGGTGGGTGTGCGACGGCACCGATGACTGCGGGGACGGCAGCGACGAGGTCACCTCCGTCTGCAGTGAGTCTCGGCCTCGCCGCGCTTTCCCGTGTGCGGCCTCCGTGTTCCCGCTAAGGGGACCTCACTGCAACTCGGCCTATCTTTCATGCTAAAGAGCCTTACTACCCAATAGGAAACGAGTAGGGGCTCCATGTTGGAACGGTATTGTGGTCCTTGTCCTTACCGGGACCGAGTGACATAGATGTATAGGAGAGCAGTTGAAAGAAAGGCGAGAGACTATGAGCCGCACAACCCACTTTGCCCTGAAAACATCAGCCCTGACTCCTGTTCTCTTGCGCCCCTGTGTTTTAGTGGCCAAGACCTGCAAGCCCAGCGAGTTCAGCTGTGGTGGGCGGCTGAACCAGTGTGTGCCCAGTGGGTGGCGCTGCGACGGCAAAAAGGACTGCGAGAATGGTGCCGATGAAGAAAGCTGTGGTGAGTCCAACCTCTCTCTCTCGGCCCCAGATCCCCGGTGCTGTTTTTCCCAGCATGCCTGTTGTTCTTGCCTCGGTTTGACCAGGGCGATTGATTTTGACTTCTCCTCTCTTCGCCTCATTTGCAGTTTTTCACTTCAAACCGCCCGAGTGTCGATACTGCTTCTCTCCTGCTCCCGCCTCCTCTCCGCTCCCAGCTTTTGTTCTCCCATGCTTAATCTAATGCCCAGTTTTCCTCTCTCCCCTACACCTGAAGAAGGCTCCACACCCGAAACGTTGGGTTTCTTCAGCATGGAATAACCTGTTCCTTGGCAGCTCTTTCTTTTTCCCTCCCCTCAAATTCTTTTCCAAGACAGTGAAATGCAGATTTGTTTACCCACAGAAGCAGAATCCCTGCTCTGTCAGCCCGTGTCCAGTTTCTGAATCTCTTCTCCCCTCAGTGTCCCTTCAGCAGCCTCATTGGAAATGTGTGAATGCTTTTGGAATCCTTATATCAGCAGGGAAGAAAGCTATAACAAGAAAGTGGCTTCTCCAACAATGAATGATTGGATTAAATTAATAAAGGAAATATATATAATGGAAAAAATAACATTTTCACTAAAATTTCAAATGAAGAAATTTATCAAATATTGGTCTAGATGGGTTCAGTACATTAAACCTTTAAGGTCAGATTTTGTTGAGATACAAAATAACTGAAATTTAAGAAGATACATTTATATAGTCTCCTCCCTTTTCATATTCATAAATGTATATACATCTTCCTGCTTTTGAATGTATATAGTTTTGTTAAAAAGTTATATAATTGTAAAAAACTAGGGGAACAAACAGGAATTTGTGCCTGTGATGTAAGGCTGAAAAATGGTTGTTCATATGTAAATTGGTTTTGTTTTGTTCTCTAAGATAAAAAAAATAAAAGAAAATGTGAATGCTGTATTGTATAGGAGAGCATCTAGAATTCCCCCTAACGCAGAAGACAACCGGCAGCCAGGCCCTTGCAAAGCCACTGTTGCTTCTTCACTATCGCGGCGGTAGCTCATGCAGTAGCGGAACAGGCCGGGAACTGTCGCGCGTTCAGTATCTCCGCACGAGGGTGATGTCTGCTTTCCCAGGCAGAGCTTCCCGATCCGTTGTTGCATCCCTGAACGCGCTTTTGTTTTGTTTTTTCTCCAGCCCCCAGGGAGTGCGCGGACGACGAGTTCCGCTGCCGCAACGGGAACTGCGTGTCGGTGAGCTTCGTGTGCGACGAGGAGGACGACTGCGAGGACGGCAGCGACGAGGCCTCCTGCCCGGCCCCCACCTGCGGCCCCGCCTCCTTCCAGTGCAACAACTCGGTGTGCGTCCCCCGCCTCTGGGCCTGCGACGGCGACGCCGACTGCGCGGACGGCTCCGACGAGGGGCCGGCGGCCTGCGGGGGCCAGGCGGGGCCGGCGCCCCCCCACGCCGCCCGCTGCTCCCCCCTGGAGTTCCAGTGCGGCGGCGGGCAGTGCATTCACAGCAGCTGGCGCTGCGACGGCAGCAACGACTGCCCGGACCACTCCGACGAGGACAACTGCAGTGAGTGGCGCCCGGTCCTAGTGCCCGCCGATTTCCCTGCTGCTTCTCCCTCGGCCGGGGTTTGACTCGCAGTCCTGGTTTTTCTTCCAGCCTGTTTCCTAGTGTTACAATTGAATCCTCAATTGACTTAATCACATGGTCTTGACCCGTTCGGCTGTTTTCAGCTCTCAGACATATTGGAGGTCGCCTTTTGCCTATTGCATTTTGCAAAGAACGTACAATTCTAAACATTGAACTATAAAAAAAAAAACAATCGTTCCAATTGGGCTGCTTGTTAATTCAATTAAGGCTTCAATTAAGTCATTTAGCTCGGCAGGTCTGTGGGCCGGGATTGGTTACCGGGGTTCCCAAGATTGGTAACCCCTGCTTTGATTGACCCGACCGTTGTGTAGCAGGCAGGGCTGTGTACTGTAAATGGAGAACCGACTGGGATTACTCCAGTGAAATGCGCGGCTGTGAAGTGGGACATGTATACACCTTGCGCATGCTTGAGTTCACAGTACCTCCCCCTTGCGATGCCGGACTCACCTCCTGTCATTTGTGCCGTCTGCTCTCAGTTAAGCCCACGTGCAGCCCGGACGAGTTTCAGTGCAGCGACGGCGCCTGCATCCACGGCAGCAGGCAGTGCGACAAGGAGTACGACTGCAAGGACCTGAGCGACGAGCTGGGCTGCTCCAACGGTAAGATCCCCCCCCGCTGTGCGCGGGAGTCGCCAGCCTTGAGCAGGCTTGTCCGCTGTCTCCTGTTGTCCCAGAGCGGCCTTGGCCAACTTGACGTCAAACGCCTGTCATGCATGTGGAGGCTCCTAGCCAACGAAGGGCAGCGCCACAGGTGGAGGGGGATCAGCTGGTTTCTCAGCTTCTGTCTCACTCCGAACCCGTCCCTTTGCTACAGTGACCAAGTGCGAGGGCCCGTCCAAGTTCCGGTGCCGCAGCGGGGAGTGTATCGGCGTGGACAAGGTGTGCGACAGGCAGAGGGACTGCCGCGACTGGTCCGACGAGCCCGTCAAAGAGTGCGGTGAGTGGGGCTGCTCTGCTTTTCTGGGGGGATGGCAGCAGTATCACCGGTTACGTCTGGCCCCGCGTGTGGCGCCAGTCGGGAAGTCTCATTGGATCGTCCCCTTCCTCTCCTTGCAGACAACAACGAGTGCCTGATCAATAACGGAGGCTGCTCCCACACCTGTAATGACCTCAAGATCGGGTTCGAGTGTCTCTGCCCTGAAGGTTTCCACCTGGTGGACAAGAAACGCTGTGAAGGTGGGTGCTGGGGTGTAGTGCTCATTATTTTTTAATCTCACAGCAGATGTGAATGATGGAACATTTGTGGAATTTTTGGAGCAGCCGGGCTCGGCTGGAGGGGGTTCGTTAGTTGCATGTGCAAAAGTCGGATTACGCCTGGAATTTAGACTTTAGAATGTTCCCGTCTGCGTTTTTGGTGTACTCTTATCAGGATCACATAGAAAAAGTGATACTGGATGACCACAGGTTATGAATCCCTGCCAGTTCACAAAAATCCTTAACCCAAGGGTTTAGCAATTTTTACCTCAATTTTGCTCTCGCTAAAAATGCAGTTTCCTGCACACGTGAACGACAGTTGTGCCTTGCCTTGTAGACATTGATGAGTGTGCCAACCCCGACACCTGCAGCCAGATCTGTGTCAACTTAGAGGGGAGCTACAAGTGCGAGTGTGAAGAGGGCTACCAGATCGATCCCGTCACCAAGTCCTGCAAAGCTATCGGTGAGTCTGTCGTGAGGAAGAGGAGGGGTGGGTGGACTCGCCTCTGTCGAGCTGCAGGAATCCGTGTGGGCGCAAGGTCCCGTCCAGCGTTTTCGTACGACGTGAAACCTCGGGAGAGGAGAGAGAGCAGGCCCTTCCGATAAAGAACCGTTTCTGATCACAGTGCTGCTTGTACAATATTGGCACTAAAATCGGTGTGTGTGTGTGCTGTCCTGCGCAGGCACAGTGGCCTACCTCTTCTTCACCAACCGCCATGAGGTGAGGAAGATGACGCTGGACCGCAGCGAGTACACGCGCCTCATCCCCCGGCTGAAGAACGTGGTGGCACTGGACATGGAAATCCCCTCCAACAAGATCTACTGGTCCGACCTTTCCCAGAAGAAGATCTACAGGTGGGTGCGATGTGTGATGTGGCCGTCGGGCCTGAGCCGGTTGTGCCCGTGTCCCGTACGAGGCCGGACTGTGACCGCTGCCCTGTCTTCAACCCTACAACAGCACGCACATGGACAAGGCCGGCAACTCCTCCCACCACAGCACTGTGATCGAGAGCGGCATCGAGGCCCCCGAGGGCATCGCCGTGGACTGGATCCACGGCAACATCTACTGGACCGACTCCGTCTTCGGCACCATCTCCGTGGCGACCACTGACGGCCACCGCCGCAAGACGCTCATCAGCGAGAGGCTGGCCAGGCCCCGAGCCATTGTGGTGGACCCTGTGCACAAGTACGACTTACTCACACCTCCCACCCAATTAAACACAGTCCTGTGTGCTTGGCTCTTTGAGGGAGACAAATACACTTGTGGGTGTCTGTGTGTGCCCTGTGATGGACTGGCATCTCCATCCAGGGTGTACCCCGCCATGCACCAGTTGCTTGCTGGGATAGGCTCCGGCTCCGGCTCCCCTGTGACCCTGAATTGGATAACGGTTAGGAAGTGAATGGAAATAGGTCCCCGTCTCGCCAACACCTTTTAGCTTGATCCACTTAAACCAGTGCTTGTTTCACAGGTGGAAGGGCTCTCAAAGCAAAACGTGGTGATTTGTTTTTAGCTGTTTACTCTTAGGTCTTGTTTGCATTTGTTTCTTCTGTGTCAGTTTGTTGCAAGGGTAGTACTCCCGTGCCATCTCGTTAGCTCACGCCAGTAATGCCCCAGCTCAGGAAAAGCCGTGATGAGTGTAGGATCACGCCTGATGGTCGACCCTTTCTCTCCCTCCCTCCTGCTGCAGCTTCATGTACTGGACAGACTGGGGCACCCCTGCCAAGATTGAGAAGGGAGGCCTGAACGGAGTGGACCGCGTGCCCCTGGTGACGGAGAACATCGAGTGGCCCAATGGCATCACGCTAGGTAGTCATCGTCAGTCTGGGGACGTGACGCATGCTGATGCTCAGATCAGATTTCCGCTACTCGCGATGCCAGTTTCTGTTACCCATGAGCCCCCCCTGTCTTTCCTCCACAGACCTGCTGAACCAGAGGCTGTACTGGGTGGACTCCAAGCTCCACTCCCTGTCCAGCATCGACGTTCGGGGAGGCAACCGGCGGGAGGTTATCATGGACGAGGAGAAGCTCGCTCACCCCTTCTCCCTCACCGTCTTCGAGGTGGGTGGCTTTTCCCCAAGAGTCGGGGGGCGATACTCCACAGAGAAGCTGCTTCCCAAGAACACAGCCAGCGTTTCGGCAGATGTGAATAAAATCTGGAACGAGGAGGTGCAGCGGAAAGTGATGTTTGCTAACCGTGGTTTTACATCTTTGCTGGTTGCAGGAGAAGGTGTTCTGGACTGATATCGAGAACAGCGCCATTCTGAGTGCCAATCGCCTGACAGGAGGAGACATTGTGGCCGTGGTGGAGAATGTGGCATTGCCTGAGGACATAGTCCTGTACCACAATCTGAAGCAGCCCACTGGTAAGAGGCCGCATATTGTTCAGATGCCATTTTGGCTGGACTGGAAGACAAAATTATTATTGCCCCTGGAAAACGCCAGGGGGGCAGAAAAGCCGACCTGGTCTGTTGTGGCGTTCAAAAGCCGCAAAGTCTCTGGGGGCCACCAAATGAGAAGTGCCACCATCATTGTGTAGTGAGCTGCTAAAGCAGTGGTATTTGCTTAAGTGTGTTAAATGGCAATGGGGGAGGGGGGGGGCTGGTTGCCATGGAGACGACCCTCTCTGACCCTCTCTCGTTCGTTGCTCTCAGGTGAAAACTGGTGCGAGAGCGGCAAACTGCCCAACGGTGGCTGCGAGTACCTCTGTCTGCCGGCTCCCCAGATAAACAGACACTCCGCCAAATACACCTGCGCCTGCCCCGACCACCTGACCCTGGGCCCGGACATGAGGAAGTGTGTGCCAGGTCAGTGTCGCTCATACCCACAATTCCTTTCACCTTCACTGTGCTATGTGCTGGCTCGTCCTGTAACCTTCCTTGTGCAGAGTTGATTAATAAGAGGATTAGAGAAATGTGTGTCAGAAATATCAGTTTCAGTTACTCCATTGTTTCTGCTCATTACCAGTGTAGTCTGCTGCTATGTGTTGTCAGAGTTTAGGTGAAATATATGTAGATAACAGCAATAAATCAACCAGATAACTAGCTGGACAAGTATGGGGAAAATACATGCTGAAATCCTCCATCTGAAGTCTTCTCTCTCTCTTTGTGTAGTCTCCTCTGAGCCCAAGACCAGCACTGCCAAGCCCCCAGCTACGCCCACTGCCTCCCCAAGGACTCCCCCCGCTCGCCCAGACAACACGGCGCGGCCCACGGCACGCCCCACGGCGCAGGACGTGGTCACCCTCTCCCAGATAGGTATGCGGCACGTTCAGAAAGCCCCCGTCCCCTCAGCTGTTTCGCATGAGGCCTGCAGAAATACGAGAAACGCGCACGCGTACGTGTTTCTGCACGGCCCTCAGCTCTCGCCGCAGCTCGTACCCACGAGGTCACGCGTGCAATTGCCCCGACTCTTTTCACATGACGACCCGGGGCAGAAGCCGGATTTGTGTCGGATGACGAGCCTCTGACAGTTTTCTCTTTTCCCCCCCTCTCCAGATGCACGAAACGGCGTTGCTGCCGAAGCCACCGAAGTCCATTCCTCCCCGACGGCCTTGTACATCGTTATACCGATCGGTACGTGCTCGTTCATGACTTCCGAAGGGGCAGATCTTTCAGGATCTGGTTCGTGTGAAGCCAGTAGACCGGTTTGGCTGCTGTGCCCTGAACGTTCTGTCCACGTTCAGGTGTAGATGCTTTGTGTCTGTCTTGCATGCAGATGGCATTGCAGTACATCCCATCTCCTCTGTGGGTTTGGGTGAAAAGCCTGGCTTGCGCTCAGATCTTTGCTTCCCGGTCTTCCTCTAACCCTCCATTTCCTGCTGCCTCCCCTGTAGTTATCCTGTGCCTGATGGCGTTCGGAGGTGTCCTCCTATGGAGGAACTGGAGGCTGAAGAACACCAACAGCATCAATTTCGACAACCCGGTGTACCAGAAGACCACTGAGGACGAGGTCCACATATGCAGGAGCCAGAGCCAAGAGGGGTACTCCTATCCATCGGTGAGTAGGGACGATCCCCAATGCCACCTCTGGGGCTTCATAAAGTGATCTGGCAGTCACGAGCTGCAGGACTCCCGTTTTTTCTTTTCTCCCTAATTCCCTTTCCATCTTTTTTTCTTTGTCGTTTGTCCACTGTTTAGCGGCAGATGGTCAGTCTGGAGGAGGACCTGGCGTGATGACCGCTCGGGAAGAGAAGGCAATCGAAGAAGGAGGAAAAGGGGGCCGGTGGGATACGGCTGTCTGCTGCTTTTGTTTTCTAACCTCTAATACCACCCCCACCCTGGACTCTGGCTTTCGAACGCGACCTCACCGCTGTGCCCTTAAAAGACCAAAAAAAAGAATCTTTTTTTAAATGAAGATAACGAAACAAGCGCGATGCCCTCTGCGTCTGCAGTTGAAACTCCGTCCACACGTGTGGCCCCTGTCTGTTTAATGGGCGGCACCGGCAGAGGAAAAAGGAAAACTGTTCTTCCTCTATCAGCTGGGTTGGAATTGGGATTCTTCCTCATGATGGAGTCGGCCTGAGGACCTGCTGACCAGGTTTTCTTTTGTCTTGAAGTGAAGATGCTCTCTGGATGGCAGGAGGGCGCCAGGGGACTGAGGCTTTCCTTCGTCCTCTGGGAAGAAGAGGCCGTGCCCTTCACCGCAAGAGAGAGCCTTGCGATAACAGCCTGTGTGGGTTAACGAGGACAATTTATGGTTTTCCGCCAAAATTCGACTGCGATACTTGACGATGCCCGGGAAATGGCTACCACTGAACTGAAGGGTTTTCTTTTTGTTTGTTTCTTGACCCTTTTCACTGATGTTTATAGAATTCCTGTCCGGGTTTTGTTCCAAGGCAATTTTATTGCTCTGCGTTTCTAAATGTCGATTGTACAGTTGCATGTCTTGCACTATTTTTGTTTTTTTCTGTTTGTCAGAGCCATTGTTATTTAATTTTTGCTTGCCTTAAAAGGAGAAATTACGAAGAGCCCAGGGGCTGCGTGCCATATTCAGAAAGACACTAAAGATGGACCTGGTGCCAAACAAGACTTAAACACTCAAAGGGAAAATATCAGCTTTTGAAGCACTACAAACCGTTAAATGCTGAGAGAAATGGAAAATTGCTCATACTTTAACATCCTGACCACTTGACTTATAATAGCTGCACTATGGGGTCAGAGTTTGACCTGTCTATGTATCCTGAGCAAGGATTCCCCTGTTTGTAGTTTTCCCTTGGAGCGTTTTAATTTGCCAGTTTTGCAATACTGGAACGATAATGTAGCCAGAGGAAGGTTTTCCTGTGGATGTTGAGCTTGTTTGTGCCTGTTTTCCCATAGAGCAACACTGAGCCCCAGCAGCTCAATGCGCACAATGTGAAGCTTTGCTCCCCCAAGTGTTTCTGTCCTGTGGCTGATTAGATCCTTGTGTTTAAAGAGGCACCTAGATCTGTGGGTGTTGGTGTTTCCTTTGCGCTGTGTGGGCAGACCTCTGCCCATCAGCGTGAGGCCCCTCTTATTCTGTCGATGCCCATGAGGAGGGCCTCATTTTCCTTAATTCCGCTTTATGTTGCTTTTTTATTTTCCTTTGCAACAGTAGCACTAGCTCTCGTTGGAGGTGAGGGAACTCATATACCAGTTTAACAGGCGCAAGCGCACGAGAGGTGAGGTCCGAAAGAGAAAAGAGTTGTTCTTAAGGAACTCGGCCTGGACACTGTGACGAGACTAAATGAGCTGTCCTTCTCTGAAGTCATGTCTTCCTCTCAACCCCAATGTGAGGCAACTGCTGATCTGTCTTCTTCCAGAAACCTGTAGCCTCTCTTTCACACTAGCCTTAAGACATTAAATCCAAGGGCAACATATCACATGACCGTGTTGGCCTTTGACCTCCATATCTCACAGGCCGCAGTGAAGCTTCAGTACAGCATCTTCTCAGGGTCACAGGTGGCCGCTGCCTTCTGTCCACGCTTTCATCGCCTGTTGGTCTTTCAAAAATGGCTTGTTGTCCTCCTGTGAAATAGGTTTAGATTTTTTTAATTCTCTTAAGCAGGTTGAGAGAAGTAGGCACACCAAGCCAAAACAGGGGCAATTCACTTGTCCCAGAATTGCCGTTATCCTTCTAAAGTGCAGACTTTGCCACAACGCTATCCTGAAGAACCGTAGCCAGAGACTCAAGGTTTTTGACATGAAGGAATGGTTGTTTGAGGTGACTGGGATACTATCGTGAACCCCCCCCAACACACACAAACTTATACAGCTTTGATTAAGTAATGTAAATATCTCAAGCACAACATTTCTTTTAAGCTGCTCCGTCCGCTGACCAGTCATGCCAAACAGCAGTGACCGAAGGACTTGAAACTTTTTTTTTAATACAACCAGACCTTGAGGAAAAGGATTCCAGCCACTACGTGGGAGGGGTTGAGCTGGTGAAATTGCAGTGCATTCTGGTTCTTGAAGTCACAGAGACATGAGTAGATGTAGAGTGGGACTGTCCAGCCCTGGTTCTGGGAAGCCTGTTGGTTTAACATTCATATATCAGACTTTAAATCCGGCTGTTTGTGGCTTAATTGGTCCAAATGAACAGCTTCTCTCAGCTCTTCAAGTGCTGGTGCTTTAAAGAGTCCTAGAAACACCAGGCCTTCTGGACCAAGATTGGACAGCCCTAAGGTAGGGTGTAGCAAATTTTAACTTTAGGTGAACAGTTGTTGTCTGAATTTAATTTAAAGGCAAGCCACGTTCAAGTGAGTGGGAAGTTATTTGTTTTATTTTCTAAAACAAAGTCCAAAAAATATTAACAAGAACTGACTGGCCTTATTTTCTTTTCGATAGTGTGAATATGTAAATATTTTGTAAAAACAAAATTCTTCTTGTAAATGTTTTTTTTCCCCTTCTTTTGCACAGCCTTTCTTATACTTTGTGTTATGTATGTACATTTTGGAACTAGCAAGTAACTGTACATAAAATAACAAATTTATTTATTTAAATAAAATAAAAATTGCCTTCTTTTTCTTCAGCTTCCTATAATTGCCTTGTATGAGAGGAGTGGCGGACCGAAGCCTGTATTTAATTTATTTTATTATTCTTCATGTGCAGTCTTCTGTTCACTCTGGTAACTGTGTAACAAATGGGTATCTTTCTGTACAGGGGCTCACCACTGGGAACTAATGAACACTGGAGAAGTGATCTTTATAAGAATGGAAGTCGAGCTCCTGTTGTTTAGGGGTTTGGCCCAGTTCAGGTTTTCCCATCTGCCTGCTAGTCCTGATATTGGCCCGTTTTTGTTTAAAATGGTCTGTACAGGGCCTGCAGGCACCTCGCGTAAGCTGGATCAAACCGTTCAGCACTCAGTGCTTTTTGTTTCTGCTGCAGGTATAAACTTTAATTGCTAAATTCAGCGTGTGATCAATCAGCAATAGATTGATTTTTTAAAATTAAGTTGACGTTTTAAAGAAACGACACCTCAGTGCTGTTTTCACAGCAGGATTTGTGTTTTTTGTTGTCGACATGTCAGTTTTGCCACAGTCTCTTCAATCTGGTCTTGACATGGGCTGTGCTTCAACAGAATGGGAATATGGTGCTATTTTGTTGTGACATAATTTGCCTTAAAAAGTGGGTCAAGAAAAGCCATTAAGGATGTATGAAACAGCAGGTCTCGCCATACGTGACATTACCTCATGAACACGCGCTCTAAAGGCGTACTGTACATACTAAGTGCAATTTTCCATGTCATGTGTAGATGGGTGGTTGTTAGGCAGAAATGACTGGTCTGAAATGTTGGCTGGAAACAGATTGCCCCTTTTGATGCACTTGTTGCTGCATATTGTACAAAACTAAAGCTACAGCCTTAAGCGTTGAAAGCTCTGCGCCTCTGTCTTGACTTAGTCTCCCTGAGTACCAGCTCCAGTGATCTTTCCATTCCAAGCCTGGTTAACAATCGGTACATCTGCTGTGCAAGAAGTTTACGCGAGAAGAGTTCAATGCAGCTGTGCGCTAAGCAAAGCAGCACACTGCTTGATTACAGGCAAACTGTAGTCAGTTTGGCTCCAAACATCCAGGTTAGACGAAATTTGAATTTTCTCCTTAAAAAGCACACTCGGAAAAGTGATTTTTAGATGTAAAAAGACCCGCTTTGTGGTAAGACACTGTTTAAAAAGAAATAAATAAGAAGAAGGTTAATTTGTGCAAGGGACTGCATTAGATCGTGGGTCAATTTCCAGTTTGGTAATTTTATAGCTATAATCACTGCATGAAGCATCACGCTGTTCAATTCCTGGTTCAATTGTGAAGATGACCACATTGAAGATGAAAGTGAAATGCTGGCACAGAGCCCAGTACGTCAGTGCTCCTTTCTAAACACTGTGACAGGCAAAACTCGGAGTACTGGGGTTTTTGGAGTTCAAACAAATGGAAGCAATTAAGAAACCTGGGGATTGTTTACAGCAAATGTAAATTTAAACTCATTTTTCTCCCTCAAACTTTTCTTATAAACGCAAGAACTATGTAATGTATTATTTATCACATTGTACAAAAGAGATTTCCATTGTAAATACAAATGATATGTTGTTCTTGTACATTATAAATTGCAAAACGAGATTGTTAAATTATTTTATTTCAATATAACAGAAGACTAAGCTTTGTGTATGACTCTCATTTGTGTGCGTGTCTTGTGTGGGTGTGTGTGGTGGAGAATGGGGAGCAATAAAACTGCTTTCATATTACTTCCTTTGGTGTGAACTCTACTGAAACAGCCTGAACGGTTTTGATTTTTTTTGAGTGGGGAAATACACAGGTTAGCAGCAAGTTATAGTTGCACACAAACCTATCTTCATTGATATCTCCTCTACATTTCATGGAGAAAAGTAAAATTAACCAAAGTGGTTAAGAACCCCTCACACCTCTTTTCACCGGTCCTCCATGAAAGTATATCTACACCCGTGGTGAGGCCCAACAGAAAGTTCCCTCTAATCTGCATTAGCAAATGAAGGTAGAAGTTAAAATCAACACTAAAATGGGAACTAATGAACCCAGCAGGGTTATTGGCCAGCAGCTATTTCATCCTGTAACTCACGGCAGGCAGTCCGCTGAAGCCCGGTCAATACCTGGAGAGAGACCCTTTGGGAAGGTTTGCTGTTGCTGCTGGAAGAGGTGTAAGTGGGACCAGAAGGGCGCACTCTCCCTGTGGTCTCTGGGTCCTAATACCCCAGTATAATGACAGAGACTCGATACTGTAAAAAGGCACTGTTCCTCAGATGAGACCTAAAAACCAAGGACCTGAATCTCTGTGGTTATTAAAAATCCCAGGGTGTCTCGTGAGTGGTGTAACCCTGGTATCCTGGCCAGATTTTACCTGGCCTTTAATAATCATTAACTCCTTATATTTCCCCATCTATAAACTGGCTTCATTACTCTGTTCTCCTCCCCCCTGATAGCTGGCGTGTTGTGAGTGTTCTGGAGCACTATGGCTGCTGTCGTATCACCCAGGTGGGGCAACACACTGGTCGTGGTGGAGGGGAGTCCCCATTAGCTGTAAAGTCCTTTGAGTGTAGTTTCCAGAAAAGCCCTATATAAGTGTAAGGAAAAGCAATAATTATTGTTTTAATTAATAATATTAATAATTATTTACATAATAATTATTGTTGTTTTATTTTATAATAATTAACCTTGGAACTGATCGTGTTCGGTTCAGGTGCGCGGCGGATGTACAGTATCACCCGGCGATGTAGTGTTGTTAAGGTTTTTCATGGATTCTCGCTTGCTTACGGGTTTCCTATTGGCTGCAAGAGAATGGCACGACGGAAGCGGATCATAAACACCGATTTAGAGAGAAAACAGGTAAAAAAGATTTTATTCTTGTCATGAAATGGTGAGTGTTATGCTCCGGTTCTCTTTCATGCTACGATGTTTATGTTTTGGCGGCTCAGTTACTGACATTTCTTGAAAACGTATAAATCTTATTTTTATATTTACCTGAACAGTGGTGCTGTTTTATTTCTTAGAAAGCTACAGAAAAAAATATGCGTTATTATTACATTATATTACAGAATCTTGGCCTAACTCGGTTACTACCACTTTATAATAGTAGTAGGAGGCTTTTTGCAAACGAGTTTGTGCTGGACCACAAGATTATCATTCTGTGTTGAGCGATTTTAAAATCTGGTGTTAAGATTATATGACGTTTTGACTTGGACCAAGTGTGATATCACTTCAGTTAATAATATTCGACTGTCGTTCTGTGTCCGTGTGTACTTCTGCGGTTTGAAGGGTAACAACTGGGCTGAGCTTTGGTTTTCACAATTTAAAGAGAGACGCCCTTGAGACTTAAAAAAGCTTCATTTTGGTTTTGACAAACTTTGCTTTCGAGGTTTCGATTAAAGTTCACCCCGCTTGGTGCTTTGTCAACGGGCGGTGGCTGGGCATCTCCTGGCCTTTGAAGTGGTTCGGTGGTGAAGACCCAAAAGAAGCAGAAGCAACGTTTTAAAAGTAAAATTAGATTGCTTTATTTTCTCCAACTCTTAATTTGGGGGGAGAACTTCTAAAATAAATTTATTTTTGACTGCGCGGAAAGCGCTGAGGACCTGGGATTTGTCTGCGTCAGGAATGTAGTGTAATCGGACAGCAACACATTGCTTTCCTGCTGTATTGTTAGGAGTAAAGTTGTACGAATTGAAATGCTGGGCTGAAACAAAAATGAAAATTGTACTTGCACATTACGTTCTTTTCTACTCCAGCCTGCTATAGTCTGCCCTTCATAACACCTGAAATGGATCAGACTGCTTTGCAAGGGATAATTACAGTATTTTTACTGCATTCGTTCTCATTTTCTGTCTCTCAAAAGACAACAGGCAATGCCGTGTTCCCTGGAGACCTAAAGGATGTTTTGTGGTTAATGGACAAGTGCCTGTCAGCCCTGCCTTTGGGCAGAAGGCAAACAGTAGCAATTAACAAGAGAAGCACTTTGCAAAAGCTAAATAATTTATGTGGCTAAGAGTACAGAGATATGAAGAAGCGTAACAGACGTACCATCTCCTCTGTGCCCTGGGGCCTGTGTTGATGCCTCTGCGACATGTGACTGTAACACTGATGGACACTGGCAAAAGTGTCTCTCTCTTTTAAACTCGGATTTTCAACAGCAATGGAGGCAACAAAAATGAGTGAAGGAATTGGAGGTTTAAAGGGGGTCTGAGATGGATCTGTTTAGTAATTTCTTCTCATCTTCTAATTAATCTGCAGTAGCAAGCAACTACATAGCAAGTAACTGGGGAAAACAAAACATGAGTCTTTAAAGGCTCTACAGGACATAAAACGAGAAACCTCAAAATTAGAACTTAAGAATGGACAAAAATGAGAGGAGGTCATTTAGCCTGTCTAAGTTGTTTGGTAGCTAATTGATGTAAAGATTTCTTAATGACATTTCTTGAAGAAATTCCAGGATATTGGATTGAACAGTTTGGCTGAGTAGCTAGTTCCAGACTCCCACAACTCTTTGTGCAACAAAATGATTTCTGTTCTCAATTCTGAATGCACATCCATGTAGTCTCTGCTGGGTCCTCTGGTTTGTTTCATTGTTGATGCTGTAGATGTCTTTTGGATTGCTTAGTTATGCCTTTAAGGATTTTAAAAACATTGTACACAATGTTTCAAATGAGCAGTGCATTGTTTAATAGAACATTCTTTAATTGTCCTTCTTCACTTTTTAACTATATATGCTTGGGATCTATTTGCCTTTCTTAATACTTGATCTAGAGAAATAAATGTAAGTCACCATGAACCCATATAAACACATCTTTTTAACAGGAAACCTTTTTTCATGCTCAGTGTTTCCCGCCTAATGTTTACAGTTTTTTTCTGCTACCAACACAACACTCTGTACTCATCTGCATAAAATGTTATCAAATGACCTGGCCAGTCCTGTTTTCTCTCAGTGTTTTTGAATTTACTTGTGTTTAATACTACTTGTGTGCAAATGTTGTTCTTCATTATTATTCAAAACGCAGTGTCACCCCGGGTCACCAGTACATTGATACATTTAAGTGATGAACTTCGATTTTCCTGTAAAGTTTTCTCACATGTGTTTTTGTGCTTTTCTGTCCTGTTTTTTCAGGTCATGGACGGGACTTTGGATCTGATCCCTAAGCACTGGGTAGCCGAGTTATGTAACCAGTGCGATCTGATTGATGTACGAGGGCAAAAACTCTGTGGCAGAGTCCTCTCTCTCGTTTGCAGCCTTAATTCGTTACTTCTCCAGCTTTTCAAAAATGCAGGAGACGTCTAGAAATGGCTGTTGAGCATTTTCAAACCTATGGTGAGGATTCTTCTATAGGCCACAGGAAACCACATAAGCTTTGATCTTGCAGTTTGCAGTTTTTTGTTTGCTTTTGTGTGTGCTTGTCTTGTAACCGTGGGTCTTGGCTTCTGCTCATTGTACAGGTAACCTCGTTTACTCAGCTCGCCATTTATGGTTAGTTCATATTGATTGGTTCAGGCATGCTTTCAAAGAGTGTTCAGCTAGTTCTGCAATTGCTGGGGAAAGCAGAGAAACCTGAAACCTCCATTTTGTATCAAACGATATGAAATGTCAGCCCTGAATTCGGCAAACTGTAATGAATGAAACATTTAAAAAAAAGTAAAAAAACTAAGATGAGACAGATTTGTTTGTCATTAGGCCGATCTGTAAGAGGTTTGCACCGTGGTTCATTATTAATATTTCTCCACCTCTCGCAATCCTTGTTGCAATGCTGATAACTTCGTCAAGACACTCCACACTCATCATATCTCCCAGCATTTTCTACCCGTTCCAGTCTGGACAGAGCCACCCACTTCAAGACCTTCATGTTTGAAGAGCTGAAAAGGCTGTGGTCCATTGAATCTAAGCTGAAAAGATGGCCACCGGCTAAAGTGTGATCACCAGGCCGTGCAGTTAAAGCCATTTTCACGGCGTCTGCAGATGCATCTGGGCTTGGGTTTTCTTGGGATTGTTTCAGCAGTATCCGATGTTACAGAAGCCATGTATTCTACAAGCTCTGCTTGTACTTGCGCTATGGTCTCGTATGAAGATTCAAGCTTTGACTAAACCGGTTTTAGTTTTTGCTCATTATAACTGTAACCTCATTCACTCCTAATTGATAATTTATTAGGCGAATCGTGAAAAAAACCAACAAATTAAGCATTTCTTATAGTAAACCCCTTGCATCTTGTCTGAAGGCTAGTGCCCCAGGAAGCTCAGGAACTCACTTTGGGTGGCTCACCATGAGTCAGTGGCTTGAACGTCATGGTGCATTAACTAATTAATGAGGCAGCCTTCACAGCGGCTTCTGATTTTTTCTTCTTCATCTGCTCTATGGAGTTCATTTGTAGTTTGAGAGAAAAATACTATTTCTCAGTTGCATAAAGGTGCATCTCTCTGGAAAGTCATGCATTGACGGTGCCGTCTCCTGGCGTTCAAACCGCAGCTCGTGGGATGAAGCACCGCCTGCCTGCTGAATGCGAGGCAGGGGTCTGCGCTCAGAACGCAGCTGGGGTTAAGGTCAGGGACCACTGAAGCTGTGCCAGGGGGAAGCGTGAGGGGGCGGCTGACGCACCTGTCAGCTGCATAGTGTCCATTTTTTGTCCCCAATCAGCAAGAGAGGAAACACAGAGATGCCAGAGTACAAAGGCTCATCTGCTACCTTAACCCGTCCGGTCACGCTTGTTAGCAGTGATGGCTGTTTGAACGCTGGAGGTGGTGAGTGCTGACACGGTGGGCGTTCTTCACACTGCCTCTCATCTTGTTAGTTTTGGCCAGCAGCCAACCAACCCCCCTGGCCCATACTGTATCACTAAGTACATTTATGAGCAGATCTGTTCCATGGTTCATCTGGAAGCAATCCAAAGAAAAATAAAAGTAGTGGAAATGAATGCATACGCCATTCTCATTCTTGACATGCGTTTTCCTTTGCAGGTCCTGTGACTGACAAGTCTAGCTTGTTTATCATTCCCACACCCACATGCCACTACATAGTGTCCTGTTCAGGAATAATAATAACAGGGTGTTCCTACCAAGCGATGAAAAGCCTGCTGAAAGGATCAGCTGCTATTCATTAAGACGCGTAAAGTATTACAAGATACTCACCAGTGTGCTTGCTTGTGGGTATGAATTTGCCTCGTATGTGTGTTCCCTTTACAGCAGAGTGCTGTGACTTTTCTTCAGGGCAGAGAAGGTAGTGTGGAGATGAAGAGTGTAAAGAAGTGAGGGCCCTTTGGGTTAATAATTGCAGTCTTCGAGCCAGCACTGCAGAGACAGAGACAAGGTCCGCGCTTCTTCCAAAAGGTGCCCTTGTCATGCTCACAGCACCAGCGTGAGCTGCCCCAAACCACCCCCACTAATTAAGTGAACCCCAGGTTTTGGCCCAATTGATGTCTTCACTACAGGGCTCATGATGAGCTTCTCTCTGGTATCTCCTCTGAACCAGCCAGCTTGTATTTCAGCCTGTATCTTGGCTCAGTTACTGCAACATCTTTAATCATACTTGCTGGGAACAGTGAGTGTACAACAGGTGCAGAGAAGGTATTGCCTACATAATTGCAGTTTAAGAGTTTTGTGTATCCATGGGGGAAGGAACCGCTCGCCTTCACCTAACTTCAACTTGGCCTGCCTTCAGCGTCAGCGTCTCTGCTGTCCTTGCAAAGGTCAAGGAATTGAAAATGTACTGGCAGGTGTACAGAACACATTACTGTATTTCAAAGCCTGACACTGAGGAATATGAGAGAGCCTCAAGTTCACTTATTTTGCTTTTAAATTCTTCTCAGAGTTGATGTATGTGTAGTAAAATGAGAGAAGGATTTACAGCAGTAATTAACGGCACAAGTTAGGGGATTTTTATTTTTGATTCATTATCCCTGACCTACCCTGGTCAAACCTGTCTTAGCAATAATGATTCCCAGAATTCTGTAAAAGAACTGCGTCTTGCATGTTTATAACCCCATGTTGAGGATATGGCATGCAAGTCTTAAATTACGATGTAGTTCTAGACTTTTTGTGTTGCTTACTAATTTTGAGCTGTGATTTGCAGAAACTATTAATGAACAAACACCTAAGTACTGTATTTTAGAGTTTGATGTTAGGGTTTGATAGCATAGTAAATATTGTAATACCCTAAAACAAAGCTAGTTGGCACAAGATGTTTTCAAACGTTGTGTGTAACATTCCTAGTTTTGCTGTTTTTAAATTATTTTATTTCGGATCTTGGACAGCAAAGTATTACAGGTTAGCATTTTCTTGTTTGGGTAACTTAGAACCATTAGAAACAATGGAATCAAATTCCCAGCATTAAAGGTGCTGGGGTATATAACAGATAAAGTACAACCGAGTATAGTAAAGCTCCTTGAAGTCATGGTAAATTTGTGGTATGGTAAAGAAAAGCAACATTAATAATAATAATAAGATCTGAAAGATTTAATTGCTTAGCACTTTGAAACAGTGGTATTTGGTGTTTGGACATTCTCTGCACTTAAAGTTAAATTCCTTTGGGAGATATCTGACATAAGCAGGCCTTTTTGTCTTGGTTGTTTTCTAACATAGACTGAAGCTTGCTCTTAGATACAAATAGTGCCCATCCCTATTGTTACAGTGCTAAGAGTCAGAATGCTGTGGAGACACCAAGGCAACTCGAGTGCCCCACCCACAAAGCTCAGAATGCTGCCTGTTTAGAGTTCTGATGCCTGCCATTGGATGCGGGCACATCAAAGGGGTGGGACTGGAGCATCACACCATTGAGGTCTGCTTGGAAAGGGGGAGGGACTTGATAAAAATCACCACCGCCGGTTACTGAGAGATCTGCTGTCAAAGTAGTGGCTTTAAAAAAGCTGTTTTTTTAAACAAAATTAGCCCTATACTACCAATGTGTATCAGGAGCAGGAGTACTGTGAATTGTCAGGTTTGTTAGTATAGTGATTCCATATTCTGATCCTAAGTAGGATTGTAAATAACCCTTATTTAAAAAGACAACAGCTAATTGCACTTTTATCTAATTTTGTGTAATCGCTAAGTGCATGCCGAAATTTAAAATGTAGACAAAGTGGGACAGTGGACCCTTATAATGTTTAATGTATATTTCAGTTATTTCTTTGCTTGCTGCACATGTTGTGTTATATGCAATATTAGTCAGAACTCAGTGTTTGACTTCTCTTATTTGTCACCTTTCTTGCAGGTATATTTATACATACTGTTTGTTTTAAAGTCTTTTCAACCCACTGAGACAAGTCACTGGTCTGAAGGCAGTAAGTAAAATGTAATAAAACCTGCAGTAAAATCTCGAAAAACCAATAGAGTGGAATTCTTTTCCTCTCAGTCATATTGTCTATGATGTCTTGAGGGTGGAGGGATGTTAGGGTGATCAGATACAGGATGTTCCCTTCCACAACCTGGGATTACAGCAGGACGCATGAGGGATGTTTTAACATGGTTAAAAAAACCCATTTAAAAATTGCACAAGAGGGGTGTTTTTCACCTGAGAGTTAGGAGGAGTGGAATTGCTGTGGCCAAATCTAGACTCACATGTTTTGATATCATACTGTACCCAGCACTGTCATAATGCAGCTGGACATGCAAGGAAATCATATCCTTCTCAATGACATGCTGGTGAAATGTCTCATTTCACTTTCTGCTGTCTAGGCTAAATGGCCTGTTTGCCACCTTTTTCTTGTTTCTTATACAAATAGCAGTGAAATGAGGATAATATATGGCCGAAGCCTGTGGGTCAGTGGCCCTCCAGAGCTGTTGATATATACTGTACCATGTGATTCTGTGTTAGTATAATGCTGCAAAACTTCCTATGGTGGTTTGTGTGGTGTTGGCTTGTTATCTAAGATAAGAGGAGCAGAAATGAGCTTATCTTTGACAAGTGTTTTCAAGGCATATGAATGACAGATAAGTCGAACACACCCAGAACACAAACCCTATGTTAGAAATCCATTTTCACTTATAAAGCACCTTTTGGTGCATTGATCCCCACCTGCCTTTCAATAATGCCGAAAGAGGTAGAGTTTTGCTTAACGGGGGAAAAAAAAGACGCTTGTGAAAGGTTGGACTGTGCATAAAAGATCATTAAGCAAAGAGGATGAGCAAATCTTTCTCTTGCATTGATTTATTCATGGGAATTTCAAGTTCCATTTTCTTCCATTCATTTTTTTTTCAATCCCCTTCTCCCAGTTCAGGGTCCCAAGGGAGCTGAAGTCTGTCCCAGCAGGATACACCCTGGACAATCCATCACAGGGCAGACAAACACAAAAAACAAACACACCCACTCACACCTGGGCTAATTGTTCCAGAAGCCAGTTAACCTCCCAGTAGGTCTGTGAACTGTGGGAGGAAACCCACACACACTCAGGGAGAACAAACAAACTCCACACAGACAGCATCCCAGGTCATGGATTGAACCCAGGGCCCCAGTGCTAACCACTGCACCACCCTGCTACTCCAGATGCTTTTCACACAGTTAAATGATAAGAAAATGTGATCAGAAACATTTATGTGTTCACAGAAAGGTGTGTGACCTTTTCCCTTGGCCTCACAGCTGTGATAAAAGTCATATAACAAAGGATGGACTACCTGAACTTCTGAGAAAAACAAATCTTGCCACTTTATCATTAACTGTGATAACTTGAGAGCTTTCACAACTAAAATCCTGCAGAAAATGAGTCTTTGTAAAACTGTAGAAAAGAGCCATCGAAGACGTTTCCTTAGAGATGGAAAAAACAGGTTACCATCCAGGAGGACAGATTCCACGCTGTGCACCCCCCCCCAGCAACACAACTACTGGGACACTATTTTTAATAATATACATTCTATAGAAAAAAACAAACTCCCTGTTTGACCATTAGGCCTACCACTAAAACCAGATTTCACTTTAGAATGCACTTACTTTTTCATTGCCGAAATTGAAATAATGCACATGGCCAGTTTTGTCTAAATGTCCGATATCCTCTCAGACATTCAATTCTTTTAGCCTGTCTAGGAATACAGTACATAAAGCACATTAATCAAGACTTCATCAATAGCCATAGTGATACAGGAAAATAAAGAAGGCTTGTGCCCACCTGTATCATACCAACTAGACAATCCCCTTTCCAGAGTGTTTAATGCCTTGTTTTGTGTCCTTGATCGTACAGTGGTATCGGTGTTATAGCTGTGTTCTGTACGCTTGCTGACTCCCCTTGTCAAACTATAGTAATCAAAACAAGGACACTGGAGTAGCATCGCAGCTTGCGTCTCTGTGGAACTAAATAGATAGTCTTCTTGTCTGATGGAGTTCTGGAATTCAGATGACTTGAGACAGGGGTTCCCAATTCTGTTTCTGAGGACTTGGTTCCAACTGAGCACTAGGTTACATATTGGACCCCTTGACTGACTGATCACAGGAGTCGTTGGGGGTCTTTGGCCATTTTCAGTTTGTGAACATGCTGGAGGCAGCCCTACGATGACGACATTTCCGAAGTAACTTAAACTCTCCATATGTTGAGGAACAAAGAGCAAAGTGTTTCTTATTCAGAAATGTGTTAGTTCAGTTAATAATTTGCTTAAGTAGAGCTGTCTCAGCTGCAACTCCAACCAGCAGGTATGCTGGCCCCCAGCACCAGGGCTATCCAGAAGTCCTGGATTGGGATGTGTGTGCAAGCTGTGGATCTATACAGAAGCCCAGAAGGCTGAAATTAATTGATTATGTGGACTACTAAGGCAGGCCTTACAGATGATGTGCTTTCCTATAACCTTCATTATTTTGTAAAAGAAGCTTTCTGGACTTGGTAAACTCAGTTATTTCAGACATCAACATGGGTTCTTACAACGCCTGATGTGAGGACTAAATGGATTCAATTGAGAGCCACTATGAGCATAGAGCGCCATCTACTGTACAATAGCAGAAATGTTACATTTTGTATCAGCTGTGCAGCAGTAATCTAGAAAACCTGTTTAATTTAAGTCGATTGTGGGTACTTCTACTACTTTTTAAATTATTTTCTTGTATATCTTAATTTATTAAGTTAATCTGGTTTTTAAAAGACTTTTCTGTTTTGCGGTTTTTAATGATCCTAGGTTTTCAACTATATTAAACGTACATTTTACGTTTTCACTTTGTCAAAAATGCCGGTCACGATCTTCTCTCTCTTATATGCTCCCGTTTTAAAGTGAGTCCTTAATTAGTCATTAATTACAGCAGGTAGTAATCATGGTGAGGAACCCTTTCCTAGATCCATTTTCACCCTCCATACAGCTTTTATAAATTTTAATAAAGTCAGTGTCCTGTGTGATCAACTGCAAAAGACCTTTATGTCTGATGTAGGAAATAATTAGTGTTATGTTTGAATGTGATGTTTGCACAGTATTGCGCAGTGTTAGAAAGTTTTTTCCACTCGGGTCCTTTTCACAAATACATGGAATTCCTGACTTAAAGCATATTGGTTCCAATAAACTTTAAAATTCAGAACTTTAAGCAGCTTCTCTTTACCTTGCTCCTTTTAAACCCTTATTTCTGTCTGAACAGCTCTTAATAGGTAATCAATACATGGTATCTTGACACAGGTGGGATTGACAATACATCGATATTCCCCCAATGAGCTGGTTTATCCACTGCCCATTAATCTGTCAAAATGAATCCATTCGTTTTCCATCAGCTGTATCTAATTCAGGGTTGCTGGGGAGCCGGAGTCTATCCCGGCAAGCAATGGGCACAAGGCAGGACACATCCTGGATGGGACACCAGTCCATTGCAGAGTGCACTGAGGCACATGCACTCATTCCAGGCCGGTTTTCCCTGAAGCCAAGTAATGTACCTGCATGTGTTTGGACTGTGGGAGAAAACTAGAGCACATGAGACTGAGGAGAACATACAAACTCCACACAGATATTACCCAAAGAATTGAACCCAGGGCCCCTGTGCTGCAAGGCAGTAGTACTAACCACTGTGCCAGCATGCCACCATTGCCCTAATTAACAATGGACATAATTAATCTCCCAATTAGAAGTCTGATTCAATGTTTTATGACCTGAAAGAGTTTAAAAATACAACACAATTAGAAAATATAAATCATTTACCCTGTGATTAAGATCTATTTCAGAGGAAGCCATTGTTTTAGGAGAGCACAGTATCCTTAGTTGTACTGAATCAGTAATGGAAACTAATTTGAAAATTTTGTTTTTCCTGAGTGATGTGCCAAATAGTAGGAGCACACACTGTTAAAAACTGCAAACATTGTTAAACATGCATTACTGGAAATGCACAATCTCAAATAAAATGCAAGATGGCATGTATGGTATAGTAATCTTTAAAGATTAATGTCTTAGTCTTAAGGTTTTTATAAGCAAAGTTCTGTCTTGCAGTAGAAAGGAAAGATGTCCATCGTGCAAATATGAATTAAATGGCTGAAAAGCAATATGCACTGTGAGGATGGATATGATCAAGAAAGTCTATATTCCTTCTATTAATGGCATTGGTGCACAGACTGGGTGTTAGATATATTTTGATTTTCTTTCAGGGGAAACCAAGCTGCATGTAGAATAAAGCCTAAAAGACACTGACTTGAATACTTTTCAAGTCTTCCTTTTGGATGGAGGAAAGGTTATTAATAAACATTTCAAAATGATTCAGGGACCATTGAAGTGTATGTATTAAAACTCAGTTAAAAATGGCACATTTTAATAAGCTTGTGCTCATATTTAAAACTGTATTAAAAAGGAATATTTGTTAAATTATTTGAAACATGAACTAGGTTGTACTGTAGACCTTAAAACTATTTTCTACTTGTTGCTGTAGTGAAGTTCACTACAGTCCATTGTACAAGTAAATACATGGTGCTAAATGCGGTAATAAAATAGAATTTCCAAGCATATTCTTGTAATTGCAATTATCTGATGCTCTTTGGCAAATCCAGTGCTGTTTTAAGGAACAGGACACATTATTGAGTTTGCCATTCTTCATCTCCCCACAGTCTTCGTCTTTTTGGTTATTTGGTTCTGCAGGAAGCCCGTTGCTCTTCAATAGATAACAGATAGATCACTTTATTAGTCCTATACAATTTCTTGCATTAGGAATTTGTCTTTTTGCATACCCCAGCTTGCTCTCCATGAGACACACAGACAGGGAGATAAGCCTGGGGTCAGAGCACAGGGTCAGCCATTGTACAGCACCCCTGGAGTAGCTGGGGTTAAGGGCCTTGCTCAGGGGCCCAACAGAGTAGGATTCCTCTGCTAGCTGCGGGATTTGAACCGGCAACCTTCCAACCACAGGCACAGAGCCACTGTACACTCAGTCCCACTGTCATTGCACAGTTCTTCCTCAGCTGGGATGTGCACTGTCTCTCGGGCACTCTCCTGGCATTGAGCCACATAACACCACCTCTATGAGCAGCAGCCCTGGATTCGGCTTTGCCCAGTGCCTGCCACCGTCCACAAGAGAATTCCATGCTGGTGGGTTTCAGTGAGACGATTCCACTCTCGGTGACAGGAAGTATAAAGGCTGTAGTGAAGGGATCTCCATCCCTAGTCCTGGGGAGCCCCAGTCCAGCAGGTCCCCATTAAATCACCAGTATCTGAAGTCATGGAACACGTTGAATTGTCCTAAACTAAAAAGGTCACTACCAATTTCAAAATCTGAGTACCCTTTGACACTCAAACACCAGAACTCTCTTAATTGAACAAATTACTTGCTTAATTGAATAATGTCTTACAAGATTTCCCAAACCTTAGAAATGAGAGACTTGTAAAACTAGTTGGATTGGGGCTTTCCGGGATACAGATTTACATTCCTATGAGCTATACAGTAATGATTTACACTTACAGTATAGTCGCTTAGGTTTTCAGAATGCTTATCACTGAGACAATGTTTTTAATATTTCGAGTCATGAACTCAGGACGGTCTGAAAAGCTGATAGCTAGGTTTAGTTAATACAGTAAGTATGGCGGTTTGGTGATTAGGTGCCAAGGTGGAATAAACACCCACTGAGGCTTTGAGGACTGGAGTTGTGCTGCGGGTGAACCATCTGAATCTGGGTTTCATAATCTTGTGCAGCTCCAAGAGTAATGAATAAGAGTGTCGTTGCTTAGAACTGTGGAATCCGATAGGTGTTCCATTTCTTTTCACACCTCGGCTGTTAGAGATATGGAAAGGAGGGCCATTGCAACCAACAGAGTTGACCATCGCCTCCTGACAGAGGGTTTCAGATTTGTATGACATCTGTGCTCTCGGTTTTATGATGGGGCTGAACACAAGATCAGCAGGCCACGCTATTCTCGGAGTGTTTGACAACCGAGGAAAAGAGGGACTTGGAATTCCTGTCCAGCTCTGGATCTCCAGGTTTTACCCTCAACTGGCTCTGGATACTTACCCATTTCAGGGTCCAGGGTGCAGATGACGAAGCAAAGAAAAAAGTTTATTTAAGTCTCTCTGCAGAAAACTTTTTAAAATAAGGTACCAAGGCCCAGAGAGCTGAAGTGACTTATTCCACACTTTGGAATAGGAAGAACTGGAAAATTGCAGTGACTAAGGAGCAGAATGTCTTATGCCAAAGTGTGGGTTGAGAGGCGAGTGTTGCTCGGCACTTCCTTTTTGCTAGCAGAGCTCCCATCCAGCCACTTACAGTCATTTTCCCTCTGTAGATCAGTCAGCCCCACCCAGTGATTTAACCTGGTAATTCCTGCAATGAATTGCTGGAAGCACAAGAGTTTTTGATGAGGGATTGGACTGCCTTTACTCTTACCCTATCTTTGTTATTTGTGAAATAAAAAAATAAGAAAATAGTCCACTGTAAAAAAAAAACTATGGCTTAATAGTTTATAAACATGAAATCCTTCACACAGAGGCTCATACTGTCCCTTATTCCCTGGGTGAGAAAGCCCACCCGTTTCTCGAACGTGTAAACTGCAAGAAAAAGCCGTAACTCTAGTGGACAGGTTTAAGATATTGCTAATTTTTCTTAAAACTTGTCTTTTCTTTCTTTTCTTCTGTATTGTCCCCTGAATTTAATGGACTTTGTCCATATTCTTATAATGACAAATAAATTTTTCTGTAATACAATAGTAAATAGATGAGATATTTACAATTATATCTGGAACTCTGATCACGCGTGATAACACTTGGCTTCTCTTTCAAAACAACAAGTTCTTTCAACAAGTTCAATTCTACAAATTCTTTCTATGCTGTACCTCGTAGGTTAACATAAGGCTTTGATTAGCATTGTATGTATTAACATCAATCTTCAGTACCCTCTATTGGTAGCTTTGAATTATTACACCTTTAAACTGAAAGAGTTTGATCTTAGTCTGTCTTTAACAGGATGTGCCTAATTTGTTTAAAAACATATACTGCAGGTTCAAGAGCTTATATAGTGGTGACCATGGAAATTAGTGTTATTTCTTAATAACTTGTTTTTTTATTTCACAATAACCCCAGACACGTCTAATTATGGTTTCTTCATAAGCAGAGTGTTGTCAAATGCAAAGCTAAGAGATGACATAATGTCAAACAGTCAGACACCTTCATTCAGTGGGTATAAAGTGCTGAAAAGTCCTATCAAAAAGTAACAAAACAGTTATTCACAAGGACATTTATAGGTCAGGTAATTAATTAATGTGGAGCATAAATCAAGACACTGTGCATCACTGAACTCAACACTTATGCACGCATTGGTTTGGAGATGCACTGACAGCAGAGCGATGTCCTTTGACCAATATCTCTCCATTTCCACTAAACTGTTTTGACATTTTTATTTGCGCAGGTGGCCTGCGCCACCTGCTGGTAGTTAAATACCACAGAGGTCAATCAGATCAATGATTCACAAAGTGTTATTATAAACACTTATGGAATATGTCATGACTTTATACATTTTATTAGTATTTTATACTTTCATTAAAGTGGGTTGTATAGATGACCTATTTCAATCAATGGCGTTTTAGGCTCATTGAAAACGTGGGTTACTTGCCCTATTACAGGTGTTAGTTGTGGCTCCTACCACTGCTTTCTGAACTAAGATCATTCACTGATTTGTTGAGAGAAACGTGTTATTCATAAACTATATTTACTTATCAGTGACACCTCTTCTGAGGTTAACTGAACGCTCATTCATCATAATATTAGTAACTTAGATATTATTGCCAAATAAGCACTTTAAGATCCTGTCTGTATCCAACTCGAAAGACAGCTGTTACAAAATTGCTATATATTACCTGACCAACAGACATTAATTCTAGCAGTTTTCACTTTGTATTCAGCTAAGCCACTCAGATCACAACAACTTAAAGTTCCGTTGTTTGATTTTTCCTGTTGTGTCTTACAGCATGTGCTGTGAAGGTTTGTCCTCGCGACTGGAAGATGTTGATCAGGAAACGTTACCACTTTTCCCAGGACTGGAATGGAGCCAAAGCTCACAGCAGTCAGCAGGCTCTGAAGAACGGAGGAGGAGAGGAGGTAGAAGGGTACTTGGAACAGCTCCATAAGGAATAGAAACATGCTTCTACTTTTCCCAAGACACAGAGGGGTGGAATGGCTCTAAGGAGGACTGCAGTCAGCAGGGATCTACTCTGTCGGCTGTCAAGGCTATTGGTTAATCTGGTGAGAGCCAGTGCGCATTTCTCATGAAGGCAAGCCAGCGGTGAAGTTGATTGGGTGGGTGTCAGGAACTGGATACAATGAAATAATTACTTATTAAGGTATTCTAAATAACTTTATTTTTGAATAGTTCAGAAGTACAATTAACAGTAAGATTTAACATTCAGTTTACTTTATGTTTCAACTTCACTGAAAGGCTGCAGCTGCAACATAAACTTGTTTTTAGCGCTTTTTTAATGGCAGGATGCGTCCTAGTTCATGTCTTACTTTACATGGCGTTTTTGTTATTTAAAAAAAAAACGTATTCCTCTTTTCTGTGTCTAGCTGTAGTTGGGCATGCACCTTCGGCCTGGTCCATGTCTTTCATGGCAGCACACATCATGTACTGTTTAGGAAATCAGATCTCATCAGATCACTGGCTGGGGCTGATCTCTCCACAGCAAACCTCAACGTGGCTCTATAACAGTTTTGGAGAAGGGGGGTCACGCTTGAGTAGGGTTGAGCTGCGTAGGTAGAGCTGGAGGGTCACAGAAACTAATTTTCAACTGTGCGCTGCAGCCCAGACCCTTGAGCCCAGCAAATTCTTTAACAAGTTAGCTTTGTCATCTCCAGATATGAAATGCCCAGAATACAAATATAAAAATTAAGAAACAAGAGAGAAAGAGAACTAAATAAAGGGGAAAAACGCTTGATTACCGTATTTAAAATGCAACGGAACAGAGGAGAATTAGCGCCCCCTGATGTCTCACAGAGAAAATGCTTACAGCACCTGGTATTCCCAGGCGGTCTCCCATCCAAGTACTAACCAGGCCCGACCCTGCTTAGCTTCCGAGATCAGACGAGATCGGGCGTATTCAGGGTGGTGTGGCCGTAAGTGAGTAATATGCTTTGTTGTACTGTTCATATACTGTATGTAGGTTGGATTCGCTATTCAAAAAGTTTCTTAAAATTGTACTCCCAATATATTCCTGGGAAGATTCTGTACATGTAGGTGAGATATGACTTTTGTTTACTGTTGGAACATTTCATTATTATACTTTCAGTATAATATTACTGGGATATCACTATATTACTGGGAGGCGGTCCAGATTAAGTTTTATTGTTGAATAACAAAATACCCTTTTTCGTTACTAATTAAAAATTGTCTATGCAGTTTCTAGCTTACGTCAGTGTTTTGTGTTTTGTCGGCGAAATGTTTTAAACCTATCCCTTTAAGACAGGTGGGAGCAGCGCAGAGGGCATACCTGTGAATATTTCACCCAAAGCCCGGTGACGTGTGAAGGAACCAATAATGCCAGAATTCTCCGGAAATAGGAAACGAGGGATATGGGATTACTAAAAAAGGAGAAACTTTAAACTGCATTGGAGTTTACTGTTTATATAGGACAAAAACCGTGATACAGGAAGAAACTTTTCCCCCGCTGAAAAGCGAGATGTCTGCTTCTGCTGTGTTTGTGTTGGATCTGAAAGGAAAGGTGAGCGATTGGTACTGGGAATTTTGGGAAACGTCGTGAAAGAAAGTTTTTTTTTAGCCAAATCGCTTGTGCTGTCGTTGTCATTAACTGTTGCGAGCTTTAAGCCGTCTTGAATTTGGGTTAACTGACTTCTGGTTCGGACTTTGGACAGAGCAATGCTGATGTCCTATCTGTCGCGGGGAGATTAGATCTGGCGATGAACAATACCTGACAGCAGATCGACCTGTCAGCTCTGCGCATTTTAGCAAAGACGATCAACTTCCTGAAATGAGAAACACGTTGTGTCGGCTCTGTTAGAATCCTGCCTCGTTACTTCCGTGGGAGCTTATATTGATCAGTTTTCTAACTTTGTATGACATTGTTTAAGCCAAATGGTTCTTTTTTGTAACTTGGCAAGTTTTTTTATTTTGTTATATAGAAAACCCAGGATGCACTGGGTTGTTTTTAACGTGAACAGGATAATGAGGCTCGGTATGTTTTGTTATTTATGTAATCAATGCACAATTAAAGGCTATATATATGATACATAAAGAAAAAATGAATGTACATGCATGACTTGAAGGATCATATTTTTGATTATGCTAAATCACAAGACTCAGAACGGTTAATTTTTTCCATTTACAGCTGTTGTTTTCCTGTGCATTGTGGTGCTTGTACTAAGGCATATAAGCAGCCTTAAAGAGTCAATGAGCAGAGTCTGGACTCTCAGGGACTGCAGATCAGTCTCTTGGAGCAGTTTGAAAAACTGAAGCACACCGTGGCTCTCCAAGACCAGGGTTGGACATTCCTCTTGGATTAGACTCTGTGCAGTTATCTCCTCATCACTGTTCTTCAACCTGTCTCTGACCCCCCCTCCCCGCTTCTGTCAACGCAGGTGCTGATATGTCGCAACTACAAGGGCGACGTGAACATGGCCGAGATAGACCACTTCATGCCTCTGCTCATGCAACAGGAAGAGGAGGGCCAGCTGTGCCCCTTGATCTCCCATGGCAACGTCCACTTCCTGTGGATCAAACACAGCAACCTCTACTGTATCCTTTCTGAGTCCTCCCCCCGTCTCCTCCATTAACTTGCATTTGCTGCAGGAGGGTGTCTGCTATACCATCTACTTAAAGGGGTGCCCCAAAATCTGTTCTTGGAGATCTTGATCAATAGATAGGTCTCTTTAAGCAATCCAATTTCCAGTTACAGCCATTAAAATACTCTTTCATTGTGTTTAGTTAGTGCACAAACCAGCTGGATACATAAGTGCATAAGTATGTTTGGGCAGCCCCTCCCAGACTGACAGTCTCTTCAATCCTCCCCCCTGACACCAGCTATTACTTCAGCCCTTAAGGAGTCCCATCCCCTGTTTGCTATCCTAACTTCAAAGGCGGAACCCGGACAACAGTGCTTTTTTTACTATACCCCGGCAACATACCCCTGGGTATTTGTTTTAAATAACCAGAGCACTGCTCTGAACGGCTCTTCCAAACTGTCTTGGGAGAGGAGTAAACAGTAAAGCAGGAATGCACATCCCATCCCTGGGTTTCATTCAGCCTCTGATCCTTAATTGTTTAATTGAACTAATCATTTAGATAACCTGCTTTTGTAATTAGTAATCTGTTGTTCATTAAAAAGTGCCTGTTAAACCTGCAGGACTCGACTTCCCCAGAGGCACAGGTCCCTCCCTGTCTCCTTTCTGGACTGACTCTTGTGCATCCAAATGTTCGGCATTATTGGCTATGCAGAGGGTCATCTGCTTTTGTTTCGGGACACCCATGACTCATGATTTAAGGGTGTTTGATGCACCCTGACTCAAGGGCTCTCTTGGGATGAAGCGAGAGTTGATGGCAAAACCTGAGCACCCTTATGTGCCTTGACTGTTCCTTTAACCCAGTGGTAGCGACTACAAACAAGAACTGCAACGCTTCACTCGTCTACACCTTCTTGTACAAGCTGGTGGAGGTGAGTCAAGGGTGAAGGCCACAGTCAGGGTGCCAGTACACAATACACCCCGGCATTGTGTACTGGCACCCAGTATAACATGTATAATAAACAAACATCTCTTTGTCTGTTCCTGTGTTTTGTCTGCTTCTGTTTTCCAGCAGTCACACAAGGTTTTAAGATTCTCCTTAAATCATCAACAGTGTCAGACTTCAGAAAGAGGCTTAAGTGAGGTCAATTAAAAAAAATAGCTCTGTTAAAACTTCCGTTCACTACATAGGTCTGAAGCTGTTGCAGGTTGGGCTGCTGGCTTTAATTCAGTTCAGTTTATTTGTCATATGCAATGAAATGCTTATGTAAAGAAATGCTTATTTCATTGGGCTTTGGGATCCATTCACAAAATCCAAAGTTTTAATAGAGACAAGAGGAGGGAGCTCATTGTGCATGACCAGCCCAGATGAGCTGCGTTTCGCTCTTCCCATGCAATACGGTGACCCTGTCTCTGCGCGTCTGTGTCAGGTGTTCACAGAGTACTTCAAGGAGCTGGAGGAAGAGAGCATCCAGGACAACTTTGTCGTGGTGTATGAGCTGCTGGATGAGCTGATGGACTTTGGTTTCCCTCAGACCACAGACAGCAAGATCCTTCAAGAGTGAGTGTCCACCATGTATGTGTGTGTGCACACATGCGCTCCTTCACCTCCAAACACAGTGCCCACAGTCAAAGATGGGCCTTAAAGACCAGTGCATTTTCCCACACCTGGGAAAACCTGGAAAATTGGAAATCTCTGCTCTGCACCCTTAAGCTGTTTTCCACCTGCTGATCCATCCATCTGTATTCTAACCACTTCCTCCAATTCAAGCAATGGGCACAAGGCAGGATACACCCTGGATAGGCCGCCAGTCCATCGCAGGGCACACACAAACACAGACACGCACATCAGAGCCTATTTTCCCAAAGCCAATTAATATACCAGTATGTCTGTGGCCAGTGGCAGGAAACTGGAGCACCCAGAGGAAACCACCATGTACATGGGGGAGAGCATGCAAACTCCACACAGATAACACCCCAAAAGTGAACGGCAGGCGCCAGCTCCATGAGGCAGCAATACTAACCACTGCAGCACAGTGCCACACCCACCTGTGGAAATATAGTGTCTTAACAGTCCTCCCCTTCTGCTCCCTTCGTTTTCGGTAACAGGTACATCACCCAAGAGGGAAATAAGCTGGAAGTGGCCAAGTCGCGGGTGCCCACCACTGTCACCAACGCGGTGTCCTGGAGGTCAGAGGGCATCAAGTACAAGAAGAACGAGGTCTTCATCGATGTCATCGAGTCTGTCAATGTGTTGGTAGGTTCATCAGGAATCTGCAGGGCCCACAGGAGACAAGGCTGAAATTTTAAGAAGTGACAGTTTGCCTAACTTGCATACACACAGTTTAGCATTGACCAGGGAATTCAAACCAGCCTTATAGCTAGTGAATGTAAAATGGGCTTCCAACTTAACAAAGAATATGGAACATTATGGCATTAGTTTGTGTTAAGATCTGTACTGACATCAACGTTTTCCAGAAAATTGCTTTTTTATTTTTTGTCTGTTTGCCCTTCAACTCTTCAAAGATGTCCCCCAATTCCCTTTCTGAAATGTCACTACCACCCCGCCTGTAGTTGGGATCGGACCTAAGGCCCTGACCTAAGATAAGTCAGTGTTGGGTCCTTGTTGCCGCGGTGACTCCGGAGTGTGTCGGCAGGTGAACGCCAACGGCAACGTGATGAGCAGCGACATCGTGGGCAGCATCAAGCTGAAGACCATGTTGTCCGGGATGCCGGAGCTCCGCCTGGGACTGAACGACAGGGTGCTGTTCTCTCTCACTGGCCGTACGTACCCCAGGCTTGACCGCTGTCTGTCCGCTGGGCCTGGACCGCCAAGACACTGCTGTTTGCCTTGCGCTCAGCCTAGGGCTCTTCCAGTCTGTGTCATGTATTGGCATTGACATAGAATTTCCTAATTGATCTCACTGCTTTAATAAGTCAGTGTTCAGTATAATCAGTATTATTTTTAGAATTATCCGTGAGGGACAAGCTTGTCTTAACCCCACACACTTTGTTTGGGTTGTTTTAGCAGGAAATAACAGAATGTCTGTTATCATATCTTTTGCTCAGTGAAGTGTTTGTAGCCGTCTGCTGCTCTGATGTCAGCATCTAAGGGCAACAATTAAAGTTTGCACAGCGTGAGACTTTCTACTGGGTAGAGGAGATAATTTGGTTGGTCTCACTCTTGCAGTTTAATGGTCCAGGACTCCCAGGTGTGTGCAGGATTCACTCCTGATATCGGAAGGTGTTAACTAATAATAACAACTGACCCAGCTGCACTAGTGTATTGTGATGGCTGTCTTGTAAGAGCGTTGAGCTTGAACTTCACTGCAGAGCTGCCGTTTAAATGCCGCTGCTGATGTCTGCCCCCGCTCCCGGCAGGAGACAAGGGGAAGTCGGTGGTGATGGAGGACGTGAAGTTCCACCAGTGCGTGCGTCTGTCCCGATTCGAGAGCGACCGCACCATCTCCTTCATCCCCCCCGACGGGGAGTCCGAGCTCATGTCCTACCGCATCAACACGCACGTCAGTGGACTTTGTTTCTGTAGCACCTCGCTCCGCCGACCTTTGAGATGCAGAGGCTGGGTTTCCTTTGTGTTTCATTAAAAAGCCGGCTTCCT